GGAAAGGTCCAGTAACCACACGGGCTTCTCTTTGAGGAAGACAAGTCAACCTTTTCCCAGCATTTCAACTTTATCTCTAGGACTACACAACAGCAACTCAAGTTTGTCTGGCTGGACAGTTAGAGTGAGCTTGGTACCTCACAGCTTTTCCTGGTCCTGCTTAAAACTGGGATGTGCTAACTATCTTCAGTGTATTTTTCTTACCCCATGTAATACCCACATGTGATGTGATCACAGCACTTATCAATAATATCTGTACAGTTCCTTGTGGCAATGGGGATAGTGAAAACTGCTTTTTGATGTCTCAGTAGCACACTTGTTGAAAGCTTTTTTTTATTGATAGCTGAAGAGGTACATGTTGAAAAGTAAGCATTTTAGGCTAGTAAAAAACAAAACCAAATCCTATCAAACCAAGTCTTCTAAAACAACAGGAGACATCCCAGCCAAAGGCTTATGCATTTCTACTGTGCTACTGAAAATAAACTGGAAAATTTTATATGATCCAGGACTAGCACAAGCCTGCCTGTTCTTGACAGACTCAGTTAATCCACCTGGCCTTTCAGACATTGACAGCATCATGCAAAGAAAATCAATTACCCAAGATAATCAAATCCACAGTCTTCATCTCAGCTTTGTCATTCATTTAATCTAGTTCTCGAGTACTGACAATATTCCAGGCATAATGGAAACAAAAGTGCTTCATTAAAGGCAACACCTGGAAATATTCAATAGTGTAGCAAGAGCTAAGAAAGCTAAGACAAATGCAGCCATGCTGTTATGAATCAACTTACAAGTGATACAATCAAAAATATGTGCTTCTCCAAACAACCTTTAAAGAAACAGTGGTTTCAGATGAAGATGCCTTGCTTCGAGGGAGGTTCATCCTGAAGTGCTTTGTCACTAGGTGGGAAGAGCAAAGGTTACCACAGTGCCCAAAAGCATGGTCTGAGCTGAAGATGTTTAGGTGCAAGGTGCAACCTGCAGCTCTCAAGGTAACAGAGCTATAATGCTCCAGACTGAGAGGTGGTGTAGGAGGCCTCAATTTTATCAAGAATATGCTTTGATTTTGGCATGAGTAATCCTACAAAAGGTCAGATGAACATTAAGATAATTCACTGAGCTTCAGTTACTTCAGTGAAAAAAGCAGCTAGTGATATAAAAAGTTCACTTGGCAAGTAAAGGCTTATCAAGAGGAAAAAAATCAACAAAGATATCAAATAATTAATAAAAATGATTATATTCTAGGTGTGACTCTTGCTACAGTTAATGTTCAAAGAATTTGTTGTGTGACTGGGCAACAAAATACAAAAAGGAAAGATAAATTTGATCCATTTTATATGCTCATTATCTTCCACTCAAATAATCTGTAAGGGCTGCTGAGTATGTAGCCCCCAGGTCACTGGCTATTATTATAATAATTTAAAATGCAACTATTCATTATGTTTATATACATATATACATGTAGATTTTCATGGATAAACATTAGTACTTAAAAGTAGACTGTACCATGTATTAGAATGCTAATTGAGTCACCACCCTCTGCTTCCCACTTAATTTATAGTAATCAGAAAACTTTATTTCCTAAAGAATTCTAGAGATGGAGCACATTTTATTGTGTTATTTTCTTTCTTTTCTAAACATTCAACTGGGCCACTGGACAATGAAATAGAATTGTTTCTAGTGATTTCAAATCAATGATCCCCTATTAGCAGATTTTGAAAGTCCTCAACATTAGTATTACCTGTTACTTCATTAAAATTGGAAGATTAAAATCAAAACAATAGATCAGTGGGTATTTTCTCACTCTGCCCTTTGCTTAGAAAAAAATTGGATTATTTGGTCTAATTTTCAGGTCCTCACTCAATACTGCATTTATTCAGTACTCATTTGGTCAGTATTCCAAGCATTTTCAATTACCTTAATATGTCCAAAATAATATCCATTAAGTGACAATTTAATCAAATTAAAAATGGGGACATTTTGATTTATGATGCACCCTATTTAATGTATTAGTATAATACGTAAGTTATAATGCTAATGTTGGCTGATTTATAAAGGTTATGTGTTATTGGGCAAACAGTTCAAGCACCAAATAATCTCACAGGCAGACTGCTGATCAGAATTTAACATATCTCCAGGAGTCTCTGGAATACCAAAAGCTCAATGCGCTTTCTATTATTCTTGGCATTGCAGCTGTTAAAAGACATTACAGAATACAATGCTGTTTAATCAGTGCTGCGATTGTTATAACACTCTGAGGTTACAAACTGTAAGGAAAATCTACTAAAAAAGCCAACTTACCCAACATGGGCTCCAAAACAGATGAGGAGAACTAAATGCACAGAGGAGTTAAATGATTTCTTATAGTGCACATCTAAATTTTTTGTGTTCAAGGAGTCTTTTCTGCAAGTTGTTCTCTAGAACAATTTCATTACTCTTCACCAGCCTGAGGATGGAGTCAGCTGATTTTCCCAGCTGATGAATGGCTCTATTCAAAGACTTAAGCGTTTGGTTAATAATTAAGCTGTCCCCTTCTGGGACTAGCTTAAGGGCAGGATGTGCATTTGGTGTCTCAGAGGTCCTACTGCTGCAGGAAGCACAAAGGGAATGTGGGACTTGCCGTGTGAGTCTCGAGGTGACAGTCTGTGCATGGGGACAGACTCACAGTAGCCATTTGCTCCTAACCTAACATACCCCTTGCTGAGGATGCAACATATAGTTTTATATTAATAAGTTTTTCTGCCAGCCTTACTATTACAGGCCACAGCAACTAAATTTTAATATTGTCTTTTACTTGCTTGTCTCCAGCAGTCATGACACAGGTGTTGCTTCAGGTGATCTGGAGTCCCAGTGACCACTTCTGCTCGGGGCTCTTGTATGAAGAGGAGAATGTGCGCTGCACAAGACTTTCAAAAGCATCACAGCTGCCTTAGAGCCTTGAAATACTGAAAAATACTATCTTAAAGTGGGAATTCAGAATTCTCCATTTGAGCACTGTGAGCCGAAACAGGCAACAGCACGTTGGTGCTTTGAGTTTTCAGACAGAATGTTTTCATTCTGTTTAGATGATGAGTTGCAATTAGTGGGAAATTGAAAGAGGTTTTCAAGAAGTAGGTAGAAAGAGAACCCTAGAAATGTAAGGATTTCTAATACTGACCATTATATGTAACCTGTGCTTGGAGTTCTATTGGGAATAACAAACGCCAGCACTGATTCTATGCCAGTTGCTAACAGAATTGTCTTTAAAGCTGTTTTCTCAGTTCTAATGCCATGAAATGTCACAAGAGACCAAACCTTCTGATTCTCCCACTTACAACTGTTTTGCAATAGAAACAATCAGGGATTTTTTTTTCCCCCACTGGCTTTCAAGCTTCTTTCTACTTGATAGATGAATGAAAGATAAACACTACATACTTCATACAGTAGACAGACTGTTCAAATGAAATGGGGGGGAGGGGGGGAAGCACCCCAGAACAGACACACTCAGCACATATTCTCAGCTCATAATTGAATCAACATTCAGGAAAGTATGTTTTTTACATTCCTTTAAATTCTCTCACAGATGCAGTATCAAATAAGAGCTGTAAAAATAACAATAGCAGAAAGGCAAACTGCAGTAGTGAAACCTGCTCCAGTTTTTGCCATGGAGAGATGTGTTTTTCCTCTCCTATTTTGGGCCTCAGACTTTCTCATGTTTTGTAGCTTATGGAGGAGCTTCCAGTGCAGTCACAGCAGATCCATGATGTCAAAATAGCCCCTTAGGACAACACGTCAGTAACTAGTTTTAAAATAAAGAAAAAGGACAAACTACAAGGAGGTAGATTCAGACTAGATAAGGAAGAAATTTTTTACAGTGATGGTGGTGAAACACTGGCACAAGTTGCCCAGAGAGGTGGTGGATGCCCCATTCCTGGAAGTGCTAAAGGCCAGGAAGGATAGGGCTCTGAGTAACCTGATACAGCAGAAGATATCCTTGTCCATGGCAGAGGGGTTGGACTAGATGACTTCTAAAGATCCCTTCCAAGCAAAATAGTTCTATAACTCTGAAAAAGCAAACAACACATGCTTACTCCTGACATAAACTGTGACTAGCATGTGCTAGGAAGTAAAATAGGAGGGTTTTTACTAGAAGATACAGGATTGGGACCTTTCAGACTTTGCCTTCTTCAACAGTTATCAAATCTTTAATCCCCAAAACACCACCAGGAGTTAAAACTGAAATAGTTGAAATCATCTTTCATCTCCTTCACACCTTTGACCAGTAATACTGTATTTTACTACTGGTGACAGTATCTGGAAGGTTTGGTGTGTTCCTGTGTGTGTGTTGTCCCTCTGACCCAATAATTTAGATACAGGCAATGGTTTCTGACAGTAGATCTTTAATTCTGTCAGAAGTTGCTTTTCCTAACATAGCCCAGGTTGGTAATCACATCCCCTAAGCAGTTTCCTTTATCTTGTGTTGTGTGGAATGCTGTTTCCTTAGAGAAACCGGTACTTTCATCTCCCTGCAAGCTGCCAACAGCTCCTGAAGTGAGAGGTCAGAAAGCAAAGCAACATCTGCAAAACCAACACTTTTCTTCCAGTCACTCCTGGAAGGACTCCAGCGATGTTACCTAAAGACGCCCAGAACATTTCCACATCAAATAGACATCAAGGATGGAAGTTTCTACCCAGAGTAGCTGCGATGTGCTGCTACGGAGGCACGACAAACAAAGAAGCCGTGGGAAGCGTTTTCCCAGAGAGTTTTATCCGTCAGGGATCCCTCACCACTTCTCTGCCCAGCATCCTTTCCCCCAAACACACCGCAAACTGAAAAGGGATGTAAGCCAGATTAAGCAAAGGAGGAGGGGCAGGGAAGGGACAATGCTGCTTGGAGGCACCTATGGGGGCTTGAGCTACAGTGACAGGGGGGCCTTCTCGCTCTGCCGCCCACTCCCGGCCGTGGGCGGGCTCGAACCCGCGGCGCGGCGGCCGCGCAGTGCTCGGCCGGCTGCCAGGCTGCGCGGAGCTCCCGCCGCGGGGCCGCGGCCCCCGCTCAGGTAAGGCGCGCTGGCCTCGGGAACGCGGCACCTCCCGCCGGGAGCCTGTCCCCTGCACCGCTCCTCTCCCCGGGGCACTCCTGAATTCCCTTCTAATCCCTCCCCCTCCGCTCAGCTGGGTCTGTTTGGGTTTTGTTGTTGTTTTTTGTTTTTGTTTTTTAAATTTTTAATTTAGTTTTCCCTCTCTTACATATCGTTATTCTGCCTTATTAAAATAACTCAGAATAACGCACATTTCTATTAATGAAATAAGTCAAATCTAAGAACTGAGTGTCTCCCCAAAAGCCTTCAAAACCTTGTTTTTAAAAACAGTGAATGGCACTTGGAGAAACTTCTCCCAGAAAGATAATGTAAGAGCCAGCTCCCATTTCCCCCCTCCTCCAATTCCCTATCAAGTCTGCACATCTCACCTCAAATGAATATATGGATGAACAATGTGCTAGTACTTAAAACGGTGTATAATATTTAAATGAAAGTAGATCATGTTGATTAAGCCTGTTGTTGGGCACCAAATAATGAAGAAAGGGAATACTTGAATTGAATGAGAGCATTTTATTTCTCGAGCAGACTTTTTTTTTTCCTAATTATACAAAAAATCAGTTGTCATATACACAATGTCTATTGAGACTTTAGGGTTCTTAAAAGATTGTTCTTCATCATGACAACTCCAGGTAATTCTAATGACCAGTCATAGAATAAAGCTAAAGAAGTTTGTTCTTAAAGGAAAGGAAGATCGTGTAACAGTCACACACTTACCACATGGGAAGATTAGTAAAATCTGTACCAGTGGAAAAAATATCGAATACAGATCTTATTGGAAAATGCCACTTGCTTTCAAAGCCCCTTGTGTGATTTCCTCTTAGACTGAATTCCTGATGACTTTGAGCTCAGTTCCAAATCTCAGTCAGAATAACTCCTCTGACTTCAACTTTAGCAGGTACAAAAGTGTGCAGCTGAGCCCCGAATACTCAACTTTGACAACATAATATAATTTGCTAAGATATGTGATTCTACTGAGTAGTTTTAATTACATTAATTTGTAATTTCAAATACAAGAGCTTCCTAGATTGTAAAAACCCTAAACTGCTTTGAAAATGGATTTTCTCCTTCCTGGTCTTCCATCCTCTTGCACTGCTGAGAATGGTTGGTTTGTAAATCTCCTGGTTACAGGACATCTACCAATTCAGTGACGAATTATAAACCTTGGACTCACACTGAGAAACGTTTGTTTCAGGACTCAGAAAAATTAAACTTTCTCTGGAAGGTTTCAGACATGTATAAAAATAGGAAAACCAAAGAAAATCTATGGTTCAAATTCATAACTTGAATGGGGAAAAAAAAGGCATCACTGGGGTAGATTTCCCCCCCTTCTTCCTCCTTCCCCCCAAACTAACAAGCCTTTGCAACTGCAAACAACATTAATTGCAGACCAAGGGACTGATTTTCTGTCATAAATCTCAAAGGCACATTGCAAAATATTCAGCGAGGAGAGAAGATGGATATGATTGAGCCTAATTTGCTACTGCTGGGCTATTATTTTTCCCTCAAGGCCTCAAGCATGTGTTCAGTGACATAAAGTGAGATGACCCTCCCTCTCCCATGCCAGAGGCTGCATGGAGGGAAGCTGCAGGCACATTAGTTGGGTCCTGGATAGTTTCTACATTTTGAGACTGTGAGCTTTGCTTAAGCATTCATCAGGGTCCGTGTGGGGAGATTAAGGAATAGAATATTCTAGATGTGTTAACTTTCATAGGGAACAATAATTTAAGATGGCACCAGAAAGGCAGGGTTTCATCTGTCTTTTCAAATCAAGTTGTTATTTTCTTAATCCCAACCAGCATATTCTGCCCAACTTTCTGGATTTTCAACTATTCATATTAATCATATCTATTTTGATAGTTCCCAAACAAAACTGCCTCCATTTTTGCTACAGGCTATAAAACCACGTTACCCTGGTCTGTGTCAGTAGTGAGGTATGGTATCAGCACTGCAGTAGCTCTGTATCTGCTTTCAGCCCACACTTGTGGGTACCCTTTTAGAACCTAGTGATTTAAAGTGCTCACCCAGACAGCTGTCAGGTCCCAGCTGGTTGATGGAAGACCACCCAAGCCATCAGTGTGAGCCACACTAAGGCTGTTTGCACCTCCCTGCACAGTCAAAACCTTTGTAAAGGTACCTTTGAGGTTTTATTCATCATTTGCAGCCTCTGAAGGTTACCTGCCTCTGACTCAACTCAAACCCATTCATTCATTAAACTGAAGGAAAGCCTCTCTGCTCTATTGAAGCCACATGGGTCGGCTTTGACTTGTGACTGTCAGACTAGTGTGGCAGAAGGTAATCCTTGTCTGCAGGATTGGGTGTGGGGGTACCTTAAAGCATTGACATACACGTTAAAAAGCCAGTAAAAGTCTCAGATTTTAGAGACCTGTAGTTTGGTACAAGAAGACCCAAACATTTGCAGAGTTATGTAGAGGTCCAGCTGCCCAGACAACAGAACTGGGATATACAGAGCAAAACATTTAAGTAAAAAGGTCTACATACAGATACAAACAACCATTAACAACCCCATACACTTATGATTTGTTTGGATAATTACAAATGGCAGTAAACATCAGCCCTGATTCAAACACCATTAATCTGCTAGACTTTTGATTTTCAGCTCTCTAATATCATATTTAGGAACAAGTTGGAGATAGTTCACAGCCTTTTTTGACTAGAAAATAGCCTGTATAACACATTTCCTATGGATTTCTTAATAGATATAAGCAGAGTTTATAATGAGCACTAGCTTTAAGCTGTCATATGAACACATTCATTTCTTAAAATCTATTCTGTGAATGCTTATTACTGCATCCATTTCTGTATGTTGTTGCAACCTTTCAGTTCAGTGTTACGCTGATTGGAAATAGGACATCTGGCACTGGCTCCATGAAGGTAACTCCTACAGTTGTATTGTCATCCTAAACACCCAGTTGTTATAAATCTGAAATTCATTTTCCAGAAAAACTTTCATTTTCCAGAAGAAGCTTTGCCAGTTATTTCCCAGCTAATCCACAATGTGTAATCTATTCAAAATGCACAGAGTGAAAACAACAGATAAACATATAAAATAATCCTATTATAGATTATGCAAGTTACTCTAAGGCTTTGATGTTCATGAAATTGATAGTGCAGGGAACTTGGCAAGACATAGAGCTCAATCTAGAGTACCAAATGTCTCTAACAATTAGACAGTACTCATATCCTTAATTATGTAAATATTAACAGCGTGGCTAGTTCTGACTCCTTTTGTTGTTAGATGTACTGATACTAAAAAAAAAGTTAAAATGGCTGCAACAAAAGGTTTGTTTGACTTTGATTCTGACCTTTTAGAAGGTGTATTTTGAGGACAGTGATTTTACATATTAACTTGTACATTATTTGTGATATTGAAATAAGTGAGTTGTCGCTGATACAGTCTGATATCTTGCTGTGCTACTTTTTTTTTAATAAACATATTTGTGATACAGATTTATTTGGGAAAGTTTTAGACTCTCAGGCCTTATACATATATAAATGATTTTGAATTATGAAGTTTCACTACCAGGTCATTTTGCTACATCAGAGAAGCAGTTTTCATTTCTGGTGAATCCTAAATTCATTCTACTTATTTTAACAGTATGACCTTTTGCTGTTGAACAGTATCTTTGACAAAACACCCCAGAGCATAGAACTTGAGAACATGCTTTTAGATTGGAGCAACTTCCCAAGTGCTTCCTTGAGAAAGTGACACTTTATTACTGGGCACATGTGACAATTGTATTGATCATAACTTCATAGCATAACTAGAATCCAGTATTTCACTTTGAACTATTGCCAGATACAGCACCAGTAGGACCTGACATCCATCCAATTGCTAACATATCACTGTCATAACAGATGGCTCCTGTTCTGCCTGTCTGTAAAGAAAACACGACAAGACAGCTACTTTCCAATCCTACTTTGATTACTTGCCCAAGGAGACCTACATGGTTTATGCCCATGCCTAAGGTTTAGAAACAAGCTAGCTGGTATGCCAAAAGCCAGTTTGTCAGCCAAATAAGAGGGCATCCCTTATAATAGGATGCAGACACATGTATTTGTCCGCTTTCATCAGTCAGTTTTCCAGTTAGACCTGGAGTTTTGCTACTGCTGGGTTTTATTCCTTCTTTCTAATTTACCCCATTTAAAAAAAACCCCTCTTGCTACTTTTCACTAAAGCTGCAGACTCTGCAGTATTATTCCTAACAGGAAAAATTGGTTTTGTGTGTGAAAATTTTGCATTTCCTTCTCTTTCATGATCTGTATATTTCAGGGACACTTAGAAAGTATCATGAAACTACAGCTATTATAAACAGGCATCCAGATTAACACAAAGACAGATAGCACAGCACTTTATTCCAGAAAGTGCTTTCTGTCAGTGACTGCTGTCAGTCTGTTGTATGCAGCTGACTTTTCCAAGCTGGGGTGGGTTTGGCTGGGGTAGGTTTACTTTTCTTCACAGTAGCTGGTACGGGGCTGTGTTTTGAATTTGTGCTGAAAACAATACTGATATTACAGGGAGGTTTTGGTTATTGCTGTGCAGAGTCAAGACCTTTTGTGCTTTTCACACCCCCCCCACCAGTGAGGAAGCTGGGGGTGCAGAAGAAGATGGGAGGGAAAACAGCTGGGACAGCTGACCCCCAACTGACCGAAGGGATATTCCATGCCATATGGTGTCATGCTCAGAATATCGTGTTGGGGGAATAAGGGGTGGGAGGTGGGTGGCACTCAGAGTGATGGCATTTGTCTTCTTGAGTCACCATCACACGCGATGGAGCCCTGTTTTCCTGGGGATGGCTTAACACCTGCCTGCACTCATGGCTTTTGCTTTACCTGTTAGACTGTCTTTATCTCAAGCAATGAGTTTTCTCACTTTTATCCTTCTGATTCTCTCCCCACAAGGGAGTAGTGAGTGAGAAACTGTGTGGGATTTAGTTGCAAGCTAAAGGGAAATAAAAAAATTATTTCCTGTGTAACTTGGAAATGAAAATAGTAAGGAAGATAAGTCAGAACAGGAGAAGCCAATGAAGATGGCAATACAGTGTCAGGTGCAAATTTGATAAAAGCAAAGGTAGGAATGAAGAATAAATGAAGAATCTGCAAGTGACAGTGGCATTTTAGGGCTGTATCCTGTAGGAGTTTTTCCTTTTTTTGTCTGCCTCTCTACTTTTAATCTTGTGGCTGCCTTCCATTTCCCCACTCCCTTTCTCCCACTGAATCCTTAATATTTCCAGCTTTCCATCATTTCACCTCCAGTTGGTTCGTATTGATCTATCAAGCAGAGGACGAAGTAAAGAATATAAAATCTCACTGGTTACATTGCAGTTCTAGCAGACAGTGCAAGTAGGAGAATCCAGAGCAGGGGAGGTGGTTGTACTTCCCTGGCACTGTGGGTGAATCCCTCCTGACTTTCTAGCTGCTTTTCAGTCAAGCATTTAAAGGCACTGTCATTCAGCAGTTTGGATCAGGAAGTGAAATGCAACTGCAATGCTAATTCAGCTGATATTCTAAAACCTACCATCTGCTTTTTATTTTAAGATAATTCTACACACAGTTTTAGATGCCTGCAGTAACAGCCATGGGAATTCAGGCATATGGCCACTACCATATGACAAAGTGTATTATCTAATAACTTTTAGTCTTTCCCATGCATCCACTTGTGCATAAGATATTTTGGTATAACAGGCATCTCATCCTTTGATTCATTCACACAAAATTCACTTCCAGTGAAATTTTAGGATACTACTACTACCTCTGCCAGCTATCTGCCTCATCCCATTTCAGTCTCAAAGGTTTGTGAAACTTGCATAACTCACTTTTCTTGTCATGCTGAAGATAATAAATACTGAATTCCCAAGAGGAATGCCAAAACATTAGATAGCTTTTACAGTCCTAATCTGATCTGATTAAAAGTGAAAAAGTGGTGTTGTCTCATCGTATGAGAAACTGGGGCAGATTGTTTACCTTCACCTCAATTACTTAATGATATGTTTAGAACATGAAGATGTGTCAATATATACATAATAATCTGGACATCACGAAGTCTGTCTAGTTAAACCAAATGGCTCAACATTTTATGCAGAAAACAGGTTATGTGTATTTTTCTAGGCTCTTGGAGAGAGGAAAATATTACGGGTTCTGCTGAACTAGTTTTAAATACCAGTAGCTACATAGGTACACATAAGCAAGAAGTAATCCTGCTGTGAATGTATAGTATTTGACAAAGAAATGCGTGACAGGAAAGGTCCAGATGTGCAAACATGCCAAGAGGCAGGCTTTTCAACAGAACAAACCAGCTCAGTAAGCCCCAAAAAAAAAGAGGTAGCAGAGAAAACGTGTGCGTGCATGCAAGCGTGTACACACATGCAGCAGTGATTTATATATCCAGCTTAAGTATTAGCTGTGAAACCTCTTAAGACTTCAATAGCTACCCAGTTTTCTTCCTTGACTGGCATGCAGTGTCTCTTTGCCGTGATGGGATGCCAGCTGACATGGCAATTAGATCTCTTGATTAGTATTTCTTATATAGAAATTACAGATGCTCTTCTTCCTGTTATTTCCACACTCTCTCTTCCTGAGCATACAAAAGTAATCCATGCACTGTAGTGTGGATTTGACCTTTCATATGTTAAAGACCAAAATTCTCCACCCCATCCTCCCATAAAATTGCTATATTGGATGTTGGTCAAGATCTGAAGGTAAACCAGCTGCTTTAGAAAGAAATCAGTAATCAGCCCACTCCTTTTGATCTATAAAAGATAAAACCAAACAAGTATGGAAATATCCATAGGTTCCCTTAATCTGTTTATAAAGGATCTTCAGACATATTAGGAGCTCATAGTAGCAATTCAAAAGCTAAATATAAAAGCAGCTTTATGAAGTACTTATAAACTCAGTAAGAGGCTTTTTATTTTTAGCGTATTTTCCTATGAGATAAACATAATGAATGTAGAAAGCATCCAAGCCCAAAATGAGATACGCAAAAGAGATCCCACGATCTGCGCTAGGAGTGTTACAGAATCAGCATGTAGAGAGCAGTGTTCTGACAACACCATCTGCCCATTTGTGCTGTTTTTTTCCTATTACCAGCTCTCTTAATGTCTCGTGCATGATTTTCTGTGGAAGTAAGGAGGAGTGTATGATTTATTTTGACATTAATATTTATCAGGCTGGTGTATGCCTAAAGTATCCAAGATGCTGAGAATGTTTACTCGTTTAAAAAGCCATTTAAATAGCTTTTCCTTTTCTTTAGAGACATTAACAAGTCATTTTGTCACTTCACTGTTACATAAAAGTCATATACCATTCACATGGCATTAATTTAAGTAAATACCACTAGTATTACTCTTACTGAAACTACAGACTGAATAGAAAATTACTTTGGGGTTAAAATAGTTTGCTGACATTTTGCATCGGTTACTAAAGGATGGTGAAACAAAGCTTCAAGTTGTGAAGCTTCAAATTCTTTACTATTAGCAATTTATTGGGAAATTAAACTGCAAGGTACTCCTGCAAAACTAATTCTAGACACTGAAAACATTATATTTGATTGTCCCTTCCTAAAACCTGGAACAGATATTTAATTTTTATTTATTAACATTTAAAAATTATCTTGCGGATTCTGGGTAGGTAACATTACTGTCATGTGGGGTTTTTTAGAGTTTTGAAGCAAGCCTGAAAAATAACATTTCTCTGCTCTGATGAAATATAGCAAAAGCTTGCACAGTCTATGAATTTCAGATCTGTTGCATGACTGCATTGAATGATGGATTGATACTCTTTTCATCCAGAAATGGATTACAGAGCTGACAGATTACTTAAAATAACCATTATGGATGTGAATCATACTGACAAATGCAAAGAAATCCCATTCAGAAGAAAACATCTTACCTCAGCCAAACGTTTTCATGAGTGTGGATGATTATGTATGATTATTTATATAGGGTCAAAATATTTTTTTTAATAGCTAGAGGTAGAAGCGTATAATTTAATTTTTTCTCGTTAACAAAAAGGTTGCCAAAGTCACATATAATACGTATTGATACTACCCATGAACCAGAGATGTTGCTCTTACACAGCTCTGTGTTCTGTGATGGGGTTGTGTGTTTCCATTCCAGGGAGTGCACTGATATGCCAGAGATGCACTCATTTACAAGCATGAATAGAAAAGTCAAAATTCAGTGTTTGCAATTCTTCTGCACATGATTACGCTATTTTTAATATATTTATATATAATATATATATTTATATTTTTAGCAATTGTCTTAATATTTAAAGGACAGAGGCAAAAATGAAGAAGCTGTAGTTTACTGGAATGCATCTTCTATTGATAAGTTAAATAAGTCATGATGCCATCTCTGTTTTTGAAGTTTTGAGAGTTTTCTAATTGATGTAGATATTTACCAATGTGTTTATAGCAGAAGCTATTCAAGATACAAGTGTTGAAACTCTTGGGAAATTAATGTATTTGAAATGCAAATATGTTGTAAAACATTACCTCTGCACCTTTTGTTTTTAGGAGCTACAAGAACTTCTGAAACAACCTGTGACAATGTACAGTCATAAGTGCTGCAGTCTGAGAGCCCTTTTTCTATTGATCCTGTATAGGTAAGAAATATTTGCTAAAAAAAATTATTTATTAATATATATAATACTATCAGTTATTTTATAATAAATTTAGTTTAATTAAAAAGGTATCTGACCAGGTAACAAAGTTAAATCCTCTTGACAGTTGAATCTTTTCTCTTACAAATATTAAAGAACCAGGGTTTTATTAACAGAAATACAGAACTGAACTTCATGAATCTCAGCTGCCTGGACTGAGTTACAGATTTTTTTAATTGGAAACATGGATGGGGGAAAAAAAGAATGAAATTTAACTTGAGCAAATGATCCATTAAATGAAGAATTACTGGGTAGAGAGTGTGAATATAATTTCAGATGCTTAACAAATTTAGACGAGCACAAGGTCCTTGTCTGTAGCATAGTACCCTGCCCAAGGACAGAAGCACGCAGTCCACCTGGATTTACTACAAGCTTGAGATAATAAAATCATAGTTGTGCACTAAAAGGAGAGTATCTTAGAAAGAATTACCTCTTTAAAATACTGTTTTCTTATTCTCTGTTGATGAAATTGTGAAGTCTTCAGGAAATCTGAGTTGTGTCAAGCTGGAGAGTGAAAAGGATCCCTTCTGTGTACATGCAACCCTTCTAAAAGTGCAGTTGCCATGACAAAAAAGCTTAAGATAGAAATGGAGCACTTAAAATATATTCCTACTATAAAAATGGGGGAAAATATTCTTTTTAAGTAATTCTAATAAGAAAATGTAAGCATGAACAGGTTAAACATCGTCACCATCAGCTTCAACTGAAGTATTTAAAGCCTCTGAGCCAATTCTATATCTAAAATTGCCTAACCTACTTCATCTCCCACCAAATTCCTCAAGATAAGATTCAACCTGAGCTTTAGCTCAAGTGGATGTGCAAACATACTTCCACTCAGTTGTGGGGGCAGGTGGAACAGTCTGCTGAAAGGGAGTTTAAAGTATCTACTTCCCCCACCTTTTTCAGTACTATAAAGAGATCTTTGTCCAGAAAACACGTTTGCTCTAATTCCACCTTCCTTCCTCATCAGCTGTGACTTGCCACATTCTGTAATAACTAGGTGATTCATGGCTTAGCAATAATAAAACATTGCTAAGAGCTCAACAAAATTTCAGAAGCATCTAAGTAACAAGGAGGCAAAATTCCCCCAGCATCTCAGCCTGTGGTATATAGTTGGCTTCATTATTATCAGACAGACTTCGTGAATTCTCTTACAGCTTCATATGGCTCTGAGTATCCAGAAGCATAGACTTCATTCCTGGGTGGTGTCCATGGGAGTCACATGCATGCACAACACCTGTTTAGCTTGGATACGAGTGCACTGCATTGAGCTGATGTGGTCCTGTTGTACCCAAATCTGAACACAGGCAGAGAAACAGCTCTGTCCCTTGGTTACCTCACAGACAAGATGATGCTTAGGTATGCGACTGCCTTTTTCCAGCACAAAAATCAGGAGGGGTTTGTGAAAGTGCTTTTTAAAACAAAAACAATCCTGCTTGGCACTGAAACACAGAAATATTTCTGAGCAATACCCAAGGGCTGAGGTGCACCCAAAGCAAGGGGCCATGATTTCTCCCCAAGTGGTCCCTTAGATAACCCACCTGTATTAGCTCTGGTTAATGTGTGAAGAGAGTTTCCTCTAGTGAGTACTTTATAATCAGTAATGCTGTGGGGTTGTTTTTTTTTTTCCCCCCCTTTCTGAATGAGACTTCTTAACTTTACTTTCAGCACTTGACATTTAATTACATTACAATCATATCAAGGGAGCATTTTTTAGTATTAAAATCTACATCTGGGGAGTAGCCCAGAAGTATTTTTAATATTTTTAAGAAGTAGAAATGAAAAAATGGAGGCAAATTTAACTAAGTAGCCAATAGAACATGCAGTTCAAATCATTATCAGGAATCAGCTTAAGTAAATGTATGCTGTTTGGTCTTAAGAAGGGCTCTTATTTGTTTCAGAAAGAATGTTTTCAAATTATAGAAAGTTAGCCTGGGTTTATGGAGCCAGAGAGAGAAAATTCTGTGGTTTTTTTTGTTTTGTTTTGTTTTGTTGTTTTTTTGGCTGAGTTTAAGAGTACATATGTCACTTCAGTATTTGTTCCTGTATCTGGTAGGTGGTAACATAACATAATGCTACAGTTTCAGCCTCACCATTTAACAAAAAAATTGTGACAGTACTGTCTGCTTTGCAGAGAATTAATCAGTGATGTAGTAGATTTTGCTACAATTTATCTATAAAGACCGTAAAAAAACCTTTATCGAGTGTAAGTATGAAACCAGAAGTAACACCTATATTTGCATCTGTAAACCCTTCGCCTGTCAGTGGATTGCCTGAAAAAAAGCTTTCTTTATTGTTTTCCTGAGGGGAGCGCTTCAAAAGCTTGCTCAGACTGTATCTGGCATTTTGTTTATCTTTTCTCAGTTCTAAGGTGTTTCTGTCTCTTTCATGATACATAAATTCTGACAAAAAATAGCCAGGAAAAATATTCTTGTACATGTGTCTAGACTGTACTTTTGCTTGAAGTGGTGGTATATACTATGGTTTACAGCAAATGTTCCCTTTATCCCCTCCAGTTACCCCATTCTGTTAAGACAATAACTTGAAAGTGTCTTAAATAACAAGCAGTTGTTGTACACTCCAGGTATAGCCAAGCTCATAAAAATACTAAGTTTTTGAGCCATAAGAATATCTAGGGAAAATAAATAATTGCAATTCAGATTTTATGAAAGCAAGCACAGGTCATTGAACCTGATGAGTTAAAGCATTTATACACTGACAGCCCAGAACAGAGAGATATTCCCAGCTAACAAATATACTCAGTTTTGTTCTGTAAAAGCATGTTCTCTCCTTAGTGGCTGGAACAGCTGTTTCAAAGCAATTCCATACTTAAATGCATGCCAGTGTATTTCACATACATTAAGAAAATGAAGAAAACTAAACCATCATCTTCATTTAACTATAAAACATACAGTTAAATATAACAACAGAAATATTGCTTAAAAGAGAAGCTTAGATTCACGGACAAGAAGATGCTCATGCACAAGTGGAAGGAGTCTCAGCTTTGCAAATGTTTGCTTAGCAATGAAGAGAGGACATGAATCAAAGAGCACTTTAAAGGAAACAGAGCATCGTCCTTTAAAACGCAGAAAAGCTAAACCTCTTAAGGCACATAACTTCCGTAGATTCCTTGTCTTTCAACACTGACGTTCTGCTTCTGAGCATCCCCAAAGTTACCAGGATAGTAACACCGCACACATTGAGGAGGCATCACGTTCCTCTCACTGGCTTATAGATCTTCTCAAAGGTTGTATGGCCAAATAGCACACAAGGGACAGTGCCTTGTTAATTCAGAGCCCCAGTTACTGCACATCAGCTTTCCCAAGCCAACAAGTTCTTACTTAACCATAAAACTCAGAAGACCAGTGATATGAAGCTACACATGTTTTAATGAGGGGAATCATGAATTACCTCAGATGATTTAAGGGAAGGATTTGCATAAAAAACTTTAAATCTATAATTAGGAAAATAGCATTTAAACATAATGAATCAGAGCTCTCTACAATTGCATAATAATCAGCAGAATAATAGTATACCCTTGCAGTGGAAAAGAAACATGTTTTACTTTAATGTTCTACAGTATGTAAGACTTACTCAAGAACAATCCAGTTCTGCTGTGAAATTAAAATCATGCAGATTACTGAATACATAGCTAAAATTTATATGTAAATTACAAAAATATAGATAAATACTTGCAAGTATAGTATTTAAGAGATTAGTTACATTCAAGTACGCTACTAATTTTAATGTCTTTGTGCAACATAAACTAGGTCGTTTTATTAATATTGACATTTCAACTTCAGGTGTGTTTGTTTCTTTGGGACAAAACTTAGAGGAGAAACTTCCCTTATTTCAATGCTGGCATTACTCAAGACTACTCTTAAAGCTGAGTAAAGTAATAACATAGCTCTCTAGCAATACAGAAATAGAAAAACAGGGACAAATTAAGGGAGAATATAGGACTATTCAAATATCTAATCTATATATAACAAGGCAGCTAATGAAAAACAGCTACTTCTGTGGGATTAGGGTCTGGTGAGCAGAAAATTACACAGCAATAGCAGCACTTCAGGCCAGTGGACACCACATCTAAAACCACAGTGTGATTTGGCCACGTGAATTCAGTGAGATCATCTTAGCATTTAAGCTTTGCCAGTTTAGGATACTAGATTATTCCTAGTGGATGAAAACCACAGTTTCCTGACAGAACAACTCAAACTTTCTCAGAAACAGAGCAAAATTAAAAACAAAAGATCAAGCTTTGGCTTGATCTTCTACAGAAGACTCAGAAATATAAAGCAGAAGAGCAAGTGGAGTTTTCAGGAGCAGCTCTAGGAAAAGCTGGGAATAAGGAATTCAGGAAGGATTTAGCAGTATTAAGAAAGACCACAAAACATTTAACTATTAGTTTCTTCTCCCCAGGGCCAACCACCACAGCTACAGCTCTTGATACCTACTGTAGGAGAGTTAAGGGGTAGAGCTACTCACTTTTAGGGACCAGTCATTTCTCATGCAAGGAAGTAAAATACATAGAATATACATAGTATATAGGGGGCTGCCCTCCATCAGCAGAGACAATAACTCTGCTTGCAGCCAGCTGGGCCTCACTGAGTCAATCAGTTCTCTGCTTCTCACCTTCATAATGCATACCCCACTCTTCTCAAATCATTGGCAACAAGTGGTCATTACCATTTGTGTTTTAATTAATGAAGAGCACAGCCTGCTCACAGTCTTGGGGTGCTCACCTTAGGGGTTAGGCAGAAATAAAGAGCGAGGTTATAGTATCTTTTGCTGTGGGACTGCTACCTGGAGTGTACCAGCCCTTCATGGCCACAAGTGTCCCTCCACAGCTGCTAACCATTAAGGCCCATAAAAGGTGAAGAAGGATCTTTAAAAATGAATCTTGAGGGAATCTGAGTAAAGAATTGCAGTTTTGGTGTATATCCTCCTTAGGTTCTTCATTCATCTAATGACTGACATAGAATCATAGAATAGATTGGGTTGGAAAAGACCTCCAAGATCATCGAGTCCAACCCCTGATCCAACTCCAATTACTATATCATGGCACTAAGGACCACATCCAATCTCTATTTAAAAACTTCCAGGGATGGTGAATCCATGTCACGAACCCCCCATGGGACTGTTGCAAGGGCCCCAGGGTAGAAATGGGGGTTGTAATTCTTTATGTTTGACTTCTGTGGATTGTATATGTAGCTGTTTTTGAACAAACAAGGTATTTGAATTCTTGTTATGCTTCACTGACTTTGCCTGACAGGATTATTTCTATAACCTATTTAAAAATTGTGTTGTAAAAGCAGAATTTTAAGTGTTTGTATGCACTAGTGTCTGACGTTGGTTTCTGTCTCTCTCTGAGAGCTAAATGTAATGTATTTATTACATGAAAAGAAGCTTAATTTTAAATACTGAAATAAACAGTCATTATCTCTTCTACATTCCTAGATTATAACAATAATGCTCTGCTTACAGATAAAGTATTAAAGAAGATTGTTTCTCAGATGAAGTGTTAAGAAACAATAAAGTTTAAAGAAGCAATAGACTTTAAGGAATAAAAGTGATATTTTTTTTCCAATAAGAGACTAATGTAGATTATGAAATCTGATATTTTCTGGAATGAGTTTTGTTTTGTTTTGTTTTTTTACAGTGCTGCAAAATGCTAACATGCATCTATTTCGTAATATGTTATTTGATGGGCAGTAATCAGCAGTACCCTTGAAACTAATACAGCATTTTCTTGGAATGTTATTTCTGCCGTAATTGATAATGCCTTTTTAAAGCATCCTCATTTTCAATTGCTTTTAGGTCAATGCAAATTCCTGAAGCTGAAGGAAAAAGTGAAATTCTACCTCCAACTATACAAAAAATAATTAAAGGATACAACAAGTATCTACGTCCATTTTTTGATAGTAAGTAGAAAAGCTCTTTCAATAAGGCTGAGCCATAACATAATGTGGTGTTTAAAACTCAGCAGTGAGAGCAAATGGTTTTTTTTCTGTACTTTTTTTCCTCCAATGTTTGACAGTGACTGATCTGACTATACATGTTCTATGATACAATAAGATAGAGTGTAATAGCTTTTGTGGCCCAAGGTGAAACTTGTATATTCCAGGCATTCACAAGCTGAACTTCCAGACTCAGGAACTTGAGAATCATTCTGCATGTCTTTATGAAATATCTGTAACATCTTACCTATTTAAAAGCATAATTTCCTCTGACTTCCTAAACAATAACTATAAAAACCTTTGATTAAAGATTAGAAAGCTTTATGTATCAAACTGTTCATAACAGCAACGGCAAATCTTGTTGCTATACAAAGTATAATATGCATCAACTATAAGACTGCAGGAGAATTATTTAATACGTGATTCTTGCCTCAGGTCATAAAGGTCACTGGACAGATTTACTGCAAAACTATGGGGGAAAACGAATCGAAAATGTCAGTTCCCTGAATCAGTAGGTGATAGTCACCAAATTGGAAGACCCACTTAGTCTGCTGCACCAAGGCTGATTTTACTGGCCTGCAGTGCAGTCAGCTGGACACCTGAAATTTTAGTGACAAACATCTTCCTTGCTTGAGTCAGGCTATTGCATACACCAGAAATACTGAAGAGTTGTGAGGTGGCATGAAGATCTCTTTCTGGAGAAACTGCGGAATTCTGAAGAAGAAAATATTCTGAATGTTAAAAAAATGCTCAACACCATGTGACTGTCAGAAAATAAACTTGTAGACTGAATGCTAGGCAATAGTTCTTAAGCTAGATATTCAGAAATGTTGAAGGTTTCAAATGATTTTTATATCCCTTTATATATTGCTTAAAATAATTGACTAAAGAGTTTCTCAAACCATACTGTTACCTCTTGCTATCTAAATACCTGGTTCAGTATGGGTACTCTACATCATGTGCAATTTCTGAATTTGTTTCATAAAAATATTAAGATATCTCTGTATTTTAGGAGAAAGGAAAACTATTTCATCTGTTCATTTTTATGGTAATCACCTCAGCTGACGATACAACTGCTATAAAATATTTAATGCTCTAAGGAGCTTTTCAGAAATATAAAACTAACTCTAATAAATAAACTAACCCTTTCTCACTGCAGATAATTCATAATGTAAAATAGCGTGTTCAGTGGCCATTAATATATTTTATTCATTACTTCATGTTAGTGAAGAGATTCATTGGCACTGCTATGATTCATGTGCTTTGGTAGACAGTAGAGTTTCATTGAAAATCCTAGGATAGCAATTAAGAACAACAGTAAAGCACTTTTGAGTTGCAAATCTCCCTTTTCTTTCCTCAGATTTTTTTTTTGTTTTGTTTTGTTTTTTGGGGTTTTTTCAACTTTTTTATTGCATATAATTTATATATATATATATATATATATATATATATATATATATATATATATATATAAAAACTATATTTTATATAGTTCTTTTTTCTGGCTAGGTGTTTTGTTCAGAGAGATGCTAAGGATGCTCTGTTTATCTGAAAATCCCAGAGGAGCTCAAGCACTGATCAAGTCCTGGTCACACAAAGCCAGTCTAGCACCTCCAGACAGTGCCAGCATTGCTGCATATGCTCACTGCAGCTCAGGCATGCAAACACAGAAATCTTTGATGGATCTTTATTAGCCCTAGTGCTGAAGGAGTGAGATGACACTCTGAAAAAGTACATTTTACTGATGGCATTTCTAAATGCACGGTTGGTGCTTTTGTGAGAAATAAGTTTGTAGGAATAATTTGCCTTAGGATAAGTCAGGAAATGCTCATCCTAGTTTTTTAACCTGTAGCATTTTGCAAGATCGTTTGGGATTGCTTTCCGTGTGATAGAGGCATGTGCTTGGGGTGGGAAGTGGTATCAGTCCAGCCCTAGGCCCTCTGTTACTGGCAAGGTGGGCTGCACCTCTTAGGAGATTCAGGTATGGAAGCAGAGCTAGTGAACCACCCAAATCCTCAGTTTAACAAACCTGCAGATTATACTTATCTGTGTGACCACAGCTGTGCTACCTTTATTACACATAATATTTTCCTTCTTTATATGAATATGGTTGTTTGTCTGGCAGCTGGTATACCTTGTGTGTCTGCTTTGTTAGAAAGATTTCAATAGAACTGGCTTTACCCAGACTTATATCAATGGCTACAGCACAGCTGTCAAAGAGTTGTGGAAGACAGAGTATTAATTTAGTAACTAATATCTCTTCTGTGACTTCCTCCTGCCCTATTCCCCCCAAATCCTTAATTTCTTTGGTATGATATTTGCATGTTAATAGTAAGAGACTGACTAATTAGAGATGGATCTTAAGATCAAACTGCTGGTTAGACTTGAGTAGGCTAATGAACAAATACATGATAAAAACATAAAGTGGGGTATTCTGGTGTTCATCAGCTACTTTAGAAGCCTGCACAGTCCTGATATACTCTGAGAAGCAAACTTGTATTTCTAGAAATATGAACAGAAAAGGATGGATATGCATATTAATCTGAAGATCTATGTTTGCTGTCTGTAATGCATGAAAGGATTTGTACATATGGGCAACTAATACATGTATGTTGATATGCAGAAATATCCAAAAATAATATGCTAAAGTCAGCCTTCTTAAGACACTTTGTTTTCTTTTTTATATTATTTTTTTTTTATTTTAGGCCAAGATTCCTTTGCTTTCAAAAATATGCATATTTGTGTTTATCTGTGGGTTAGATATGCACTTATAAATATGAACGAAGAAATTTATCATAAAACTAGATGGTATTATTTGTTGGCATCTACAGTTCTTTGAGCTTAACATTAGCTAGTTATAGTGGAACTCTGAAATGTGATTTTTATCAAGTGCGAGAGGGCCAGGGGTTAGGTTGAATTTCAGAATAACATAATTCAAAGTAATTTCAAAGTTATTTGTCCTTGAAAATTTTCTTCAGTCAGGAAATGGGGATTTTAGAATTGATACTTGCTGCCAAGATACAATCATACTCTAACAAAATAAGGGACACTAAACCCCTTAATATTTAGTCCTGAAAAGAAAGCATTAGGTATAAATAAATTATCATAAAATGAAAGTTCCTTTCTCCTAAAGCCAGAACAAACAGAAATATTTACTAGTCAAGGCAATTTCATTGCAGCTCATAAATTCTTATGAGCATATTAGTTTGTGTTTAGTCCTTATTGGCAGATGACTGGAAATTACCCAAGCACATACAACTCAGCTAGTGTCCTTAACAAGGGGACCATGAAGATATTTTTCATTTGAATCCAGTGACTGTGCAAAACAACATAAAAACTGTCTTCTCTCCTTGCATGGATTGAAACCAATGCTTTTCTAGATTTTAAGTCTGGATTAATCTCACCTTGCTTTAGCCATCTCCTTCTGTGATGGTCATCTTTCAGGCTCTTGCTACCCAAGTGTTCCCACATATGCATAACACAGGCTCTCATTTCCATCTCTAAGCACCCAAATTAGGTGCCCAAAGTTGGATTAGTTGAAGCCAGTCTTAGTAGGACAGAGGTTTGCAGACAAGTGAAATTGTCTGAGAGCTTTATGTTTGTCCACCGTGGGTGGCACACACCAGTTGCCAAATCACAAGGGGTACTTGTACACACTGTTGAGTACAGAGGAATCTCAGTTGAACTGGTTATTTAGCTCTGCCCTCATCTGAATGTTACTCTTAAAAGTATTCTCTTTCCTTATCTATAGCATTTACTGTCTGTCTTAGAGCTTGTTCATCAAGCAAGTCTTAATAAACTGAACACATAGTTCTAATAGTGAAATTTTAAAAAATTACCTAATCTACAACAATTTTAGCCATTCTTTTGACTGGAATGTGAAATACTCCTATACTAATGTTAGTAGATATTGCTCCTCAATACAATATCCATCCTATCCTGTTAGACATATATGTAATTCTTATATAGAAAAGCTGGCATAAGGGATTTAAGAATGTGCAGTTATTTCCCTTAAATGTGCTACATAACCCTAACATTTTATCTCAGCCATACAAGTTGATTTCAACCTCAGGTTTTCTGCTGCGTAGATCAATTTTATAACTTCAGGTGCTGTGCCAAGCCTCTCTGAATTAATGAGTAATTCCTGCTGACTCCAGTGAGCCTTGGATCAGGTTCATAGAGTTGTTAAAGGATGCATAAAATGTTGTAAATAATTTTATACAAATAGATTTTGTTCTGTGATTGAACGTGATAATTTAAGTGTTCTAATTAAAAAGGGAGAGACTAAGAAAAGGTCACAGCTAAGTACATTTGAATATGGAAGCTGCTTTCAAGTGGTGTAGAAAGGTGTCATGCTTAAATCAGTTATTCTAAATCACATTTAAAAGATTATCTTCCATAGCTTTGTAATGAGTAATACATTTCGTGGTCTTAAATTTTAAATGAAAGCAAATTACATCTATGAGTCCAACCTTGTGTGTAAGACCAGGGGTCATGTTTTTTTTTTTCCTCAAATGCTGTTTATATTAAGTTCTATGAATTAATTTACATGAAGGCTTTTTAGTCTTCAGAAGTGTACAATTTACCCCCAGAGAGACCCAGAGATATCACAATGTTAGCTGTGTCTAACACCCCTTCATTTATTCAGGCAAGCTGACAGAGTACGTGAGAAAGAAATACCAAAAATCATCATTTAAAGAGGATTTAAATTATGTAAAGAGTATTTTATGTCCCACTTAGCCAATGTCCAATCCTTCAGAGAAAGGCAAAAAGCCCAGAATATGTAAACTTCAGCATGCAGATGATAATGTAGATTTTCCTTCCTTTTCCGTGGAACTAAGAGACACTATGAGACGCACTGCCACCTAACCCAGCTTCCTGCGTACAGGACAGTTTGAATTTTGGTTTAGAGTTTCTCTGCCCCCCCCAGTTCTGGAGGCTCCAACAGGGATTAAGTTCAGTTAGAAAAAGAATCAATTTATTTGAAGTTTCATGTTGTCTCTATCTTCCATAAACTATCATCTTGCTTTGATTTGCCAAAGAATGTGGACAACTGACCACTAGATCCATTTTCTGACATTGGACAAGTCAATGGACAAGTCAGAGAAGTAACTCTGACTTCTCTTTGAGGAGCTGAGTAAATGATGTTCCTTGATTTTTATGTTCCAAGCTCTGATATTAACTTTCCAAATTTCTTGTCTTCTGGAATATTTCTCTCTATCACGTGAACTCTATCTGCTGTTTGCATTTTTTTTTTTTTTTCAAATGTGGAAAACAAATTTTGTCACTGTCATCCCATAACAGTCTTGCCAATACAGAATAGATTGCAAGATAGCTTAATTCTGTGCATTACTCCCCATTGCCAAAGCATAAGATGGAAAGAGCACGTTGAAATGATTAGCTGTGACAACCTCTAAATCCTTTTCAAAGGCACTGCTTGCCAAGATAGTTTCCTATCCAGTATGTACTGCCTGCATTATTTGTCTCCACATTAATTGCTTGCATTTGGCTGTATTGAAATATGTTTTTTGACAAGTGATTTAACAAGTCTCCACCAATTTCTGTCTTGTCCACAAACCGTACCAGTGAAGCAACATCAATGTCTAAAGATTATTGATGTGAACAAATAGGATTGAAGCTGATTCCTGCTAGAAATGGGTCTGTCTTTTGATGCCTTTATATCAAGAATTACGGTTGAGATCTGTCAGAAAGCCTCTCTTAATCTGTCCGGTTTCTTAATGTAAATATTTGTCAAGAAAAAATATCTTGTGGTGGGAAGTTAAATGCACAAAAAAAATCTAAGCATAATGTTTCTCTTTATGTAAGAGTTCCATAATACTCTAAACCAAAGCAAAGCTGGCTATTGGAGAGACAAAATCAGTTTTTTTAGAAACTATAAGAAATTATTCTAGTGATAATTTTCCTTCTAATTCTCTGTTAGCGTTGCAGCATTTTATCCAGTATTGCTGAAAAGACGAGATGTTCTTACAAAAAAGCCATCCCTCTTGGGGTATTTCTGAATGTCAGAATTGTTTTATGTTTTCTTAAACTAAATGAAAAAGAGCTCATTTGAACAGCTCAGCACTGCAAGTTATTGATAGTGCCGATCGATTTCAGTAGTAGGTACACACGTGGACACAGTGATGGTTTACTTTGTTACTACAGTGTTCCAAACTTAATTTTTAGGCATGCTGTCTGCCACTCTTCTGGCTTCTTTCCCACATGGGATCACTAAGAATATCTATAAAGTGCATAAAGGAACAGTCTCTGTACATAAATTTCAGTGAAAGTTAAAGCGTATGTTGCTTAGAGTGCACAGCCATCGCTGTAACGAGGCACTCCCTTTGGCAGTCTTTTGCCATGCTTTGAAGATTTCCTTCACTAATGCAGGACAGACTGACTTTAGTTTTCTTTTGAAGGTCAGTAGATTTCTTCTGAAGTTGTCATTGTACATACAACTTCTGCCAAACATATGGAAATGTAGGAAGTGGCTGCCTCATCTGGTCTGCTGCCCAGTTTTTGACACTGTCAACAGGAGACCATTCAGAGGAAGTTCAGGGAAAACCCTGGTGAATAATTATGGTCAGGCTCATTCTGTTATTAATACTTTACAATTTATAGTGCCTTCCTAGAAAAGCATTTAGCCTCGCAAACATAAAAAGAAATCAGCATTTTACTATTACTATTGTTCTGATTTGACTAACTTGTAGCAAATCAGTTCTCAGCAGCTTGTATGATGTTAATAAAGATCTTTTTCATAATTGCTTTCCTGCACAACTCCTCCCATACAGCATGCAGCTGTACCTTAGGTGATACAATTTGCTGCTGAGTTTTCAGGAGTGCTGTGCTCAACAGGCTGGAGCACTTGGGCTGTGGCAGCTGCCAGCTGGGGCTAGTGGAACAGGATGATTTTGCCCTGGCTGCACTGCCACTCCTTAGCACTTGAACCTCAAGGCAAGTCTGTGCCAGCACAATTAGTTTGAGCTTGAAGTACCTCTTAACCTGAGATAGAGGTCTTGTGGTGTTTGGGATTCACCCAGCACTCTAAAACTGCCTGAAAGGAGGTTGTAGCCAGGTGGATATTGGCCTCTTCTCCCAGGCAACAAGCAGTAGGACGAGGATACAGTCTTAAGCTGCACCAGAGGAAGTTTAGGTTGGACATTAGGAAGAAGTTCTTCACAGAAAGAGTGAAAAAGGAATGAGCTGGAATGAGCTGCTCAGGGAGGTAGTGGAGTCACCATCCCTGGAGGTGTTTAAGAAAAGACTGGATATGGCTCTTAGTGCCATGGTGTGGTTGACAAGGTGTTATTAGGTCATAGGTTGGACTCCGTGATCTCAGAGGTCTTTTCTAACCTAGCTGATTCTGTGATTCTCTAACACTACAGTACTGTTGTGTTACTCAGGATTATTTTGAGAAATACTTCAACAGGAAAGAAAGAAGAGGTCTAAAAATTAAACCCTACTTCATGTCATTAATCTTCCTGGAAAATCAGCTTTTCTGCTCGTATGTGTAACAACAGCACTGATGATGCTGAAATGCTGTTAGTGAGCATTTCCCATATCTGCATCACCTTACTAGGCAAGGATTAAGTGTTGTTCCTGCTAATAAAATATGATATAATAAAAAGAGTCTGATTATTCCCAGCCATGATTACCACATAACCATCTGAACAGTGCATTTTCCTCGTTAGGATGGTCCATCATTAAGCATACGTCTTGCAGGACGAGGTTCCCCCCAAATTACTGTGAGACAGTTGGCAACACGATGCTCTGCTACAGTCATAGATCAGAATCTGTAGGAAGACTTGAAAAAAACCTCAGAAAATGGATTACTTTAATGAATTTTGAGGGTCTGACATATCTTCTGAGGCTGGCAACATTGTACCTATAATAGTGATATAGTACAACTGTAAGCATAAGTATTAATTGTCTTAATTGCTGTTACACCCCAGGAAGTTGGACTGAGTTTCCTGGAGGCTTTTAACCCTGGAGGGAGAGAGCATAAATATATTATTGGAGTATCAAAACCTGAAAAGAATGGAAAGAAACAGAAGAACAAACTGTCAGTGATCTGAGGGCTTTTCAGTCACTTTTTTTCCAAAGTTGACCTCTGAAGTCATCTTCTAATAGATAAACAATTTCTTCTAAATCCTGTGTAAAATTTAATAGTATATAAATATATAAATAAAATTTAATAGTATATAATAAACACACAGGTTACCATCTGAGGATGCTGCAATCCTGCTTTAAGCTGGAGCTTTACACTGAAACTTTCAGCTGAGTCCAAAACAAATGATTTCTAGATTTTTTCAGGAATGACAGGTGTTTAATGATTTAAACACATGCATTACAAAGAGAAAGTATTTTGGAAAAAATAAAAATACCAGTACACTTCTGCAACTTAGAATGATACATTTTTTCCTTAGTGTTACTCAGGGCAAGTAGAGTTCAACTCCAGCTTCCTCTGGGTGCCGTTTGGAGCCATATAGGAGCTTTGTACATAATGCATTGCAAAGAGCCAGGAGGGGCTTTCAGCAGTGTGCCTGTGATATATGGGCAATACCAGTTATGTAGACCTTACCTAAAATATTTCTGCTTTTCTCAATACTGCATCCTCTGCTTCTCAATTGCTTGGAAATATGCACTTATTTAATATTATTTCCTTGTACAAGTACTCTGTTAGTTATTCTGCACATACGCAACCAGGAATAATGTTTCCGTGAAAGCTCTGCACAAATCCTGCGTTTTAAAATGCACAGCTGGTGATCTTCCTTCCAATACTGCGAAATGCACATTCACAAGGAAACGAGAATCTGAGCATACTAACATTACAATAACAGCTACTTAGGTAAGGTGTTAATCACACTGAATAAGCCTTCAGTTCATATTAATATTAAAAGGAAAATAAAATTACTAGTTTTCCTTTAGAAATGCAAATATTTAAATCCCACGTTTACTGCTAGTGGTTGAAAACAAGATGGTAAAATGCAATGACACAATATATACAATAATTTCTTAAATGGGCAGTTAATAAAGTAACTCAGCTATGCCATCTGGATATTAACCATGTGACATGTCCAGGTGAAACTTCTTAATCTGCTAACATCTGATGGACCAGATGTTGCAGCTGGAAGAATTCTTTCCACTGCTCTGCACCTCAAGAGTAGAAGAGTGTGATGTATCATGGGGATTTTGCCTTCCACACCTTATTGTGTAACACTTTCCTAAGCACATTTTTTCTGGGGAAAAAAATCATATAAACCAGGAAGTATTCAAGAAATAAAGCTGTTTTATTAAAATTATGACACTGTTAGCCTAAAAGTTTTACATTTTGGTTACAAATATCAGAATTCATGTGTAGTTTAAGTTTGAGAAATATTTCCTTTCTTTAAGAAAGCTTCTAAATATTTAGAAAAAAAATTTGGAAGATTTTATAGCCAGTTCTCCTGAAAACTGAGTATGAAAGAACTATGAACTACATTCTGACTTCCTCTTTTTTTTTTTTTTGCAGATGGTCCTGTGTCAGTTGGAATGAGTATGGATATCGCAAGCATTGATACAATATCAGAAATAAATATGGTATTTTAGCTTTTGCAGTCCTTTTTTTGTTCTGCTTGATAAGCTAATGTCTTGTGCTTACAGCTGCTGGCAATGTGACTTTGGGCTTGTCTCCATATGAAGTCAAAGTGGGTTAGGAGGTGGAATTTTATTTTTTACTCCAGGTATAGTTTATAGCACTATAATAAATATAGAAATGCAGCTGCAAATCACACCTCTCATAGATAAAAACAGAACTTTGCTACTGAGTATTAATCTTAATTAAAGGCATGGGGATCAGTATTTATTTTCCAGATTAAATGCCTAAGTCTTTATGCGTTTCAGAGAAATGAAGATGTATTCACGAGCCTTTGAAGTCACTGTCTTTCCTTATGATTAGACACAGCTGAACTTAGACTGTTTTTCTCTTCTATTTTTACTGTCACACATTAATTTATTCCAGCTGTGTTTCATGAAATTTGTATCATTTGTTTTTGAACAAACTATGAAGTGAATATATTTTCTAATTAAAGATCTTCCATTTGTACATAGAAATAAAAGCCAAAATACATTAATCAGCTATTAAATATTAATGTATTACTAATTATTAGGTACTATTTAGGAAGGGGGAAGTAAGGTTAGAACTTCAGATGAATTTATAATATTGATAAAAACACTCCTTAAAATCAAAAATTGATTTAAAATGTGTTAGAAAATAATGTAGAAAATAGGACTGCAAAGCATGTCTAAATTGAAGGGGAATTGGCTGTTATTCAAGGTCTTGATAAATTTGGTACCACTGTTTCCTTTGTGATGCGGAAAGGATAAATTGTGCTAAAAGATGATAATTCCTGTTTCACTAAGCTTTTTTGTCAATCTGAATTTACTCAATTTTTTCCAAAGTGTTCTTTTAAAAAATCACTATTTATTGAGTAGTTTATGTGAACAAAATGATGTTTGGAATCTCTTGCATAAATAATTCAAAACCTTAAAGACTTACAGAGTCAGATTATCTGCTTACAAAGATCCAATGACTTCAGCTGATTTATAGCCCCAGACTTAGGCCATCAGCTTTTACTGTAAGAACAAAATCTACCACCTCACATCAAGTTCGAGTAAATTTGTCAGTATGAGAGTCAGTGCAGCTGCTGTTGGACGTGGAGAGTCACAGCCTATTTGTGCCCAACAGCTGTTTCCTTATGCTTCTGTAAAACAGAATACGACACAGTCTTCCTTTATGTGATAATTTTGAGGATTTTCTCTTTCAGGACTACACAGCTACCATATTTCTAAGGCAGCGATGGACTGATGAGAGACTTTGTTTCGATGGTAATAAGAGTTTAAGCTTAGATGGTCGGCTTGTGGAAATGCTTTGGGTACCGGATACATTCATAGTGGATTCAAAAAAGTCTTTTCTTCATGATGTCACTGTTGAGAATCGTCTTATAAGAATATACCCTAATGGAACAGTCTTATATGCTATACGGTATGTATATTCCATGTATCAGCCTTTATAATTGGCATCTGCTTACATTTTAAACTTTACAGGTTAGCATATTTTTTGCTTAAGAAAATGGTTCTATTTGTAAAAGTAGAATGTGCATGGCCTTGTAGTTCTATGAATAGTACTACTATTGGCCAACATGAATAAATTATTTAATTTGATAATAACCACTTTGCTTTCATGTAGGCCAAATACAGGAATTGCATGTTGCGATTCCAGTGGTTTGCAATGAAGCCGTCACAGAGGAAGGCAAGCTGTGATGATTGACTTGCATTATTTATTGTGGATTATTCTTTATAATAGCTTTTGATAAATATAAAAAAATCTTAAAATATATTACAAAGTAACAAAGGAAAATGTCCACTGCAAGTGAGAAGGGAGCAACAAGTGGCCTTTTTAGACTGCCCCTAAACCCAGATAATCTGGAGTGTTTTCCTGTTTGGGATGCTATTACTCTTGCGCGTTAGATACCAGTAAATAATGGGGCTTTTCCCTCACAGTAGATATTTGCCTGCAAATATTATTTCAAGGAGAACGCACAGCATTTTTTTTGTTTGTTTTTAATGATGAACAATTTTATGCTGTTAGTAATTAGCAAACTGTGTTTTTTTCAAGGATCACCACAACTGTTGCATGCAGCATGGATCTGACTAAATATCCGATGGATAAACAGACATGTACTTTGCAACTGGAAAGCTGTAAGACCCTTAATCCGTGTTATTTTTATGCAGCTAGAAAAATGTCTGTGATTTTTTAATGCTAGATATTATCAGAGTGGCTGAAATTTTCAAAGGAGGAGAGGGATATAATATGACCGGTACCTGTTGAATTACAATAGAATCTGTGTGCAAGGATATCTGCACGAGACATCACTGAAAATAGCGTGGCACTACTGAAATGCTGCAATGCCATTAATGATTAAGCAAAATCTCGGGAGGTTCTCACAGGCTTGGCTTTGTAGTGCATCCTGCAGTTACTCTGTCGGTCTTCAGAGGGAGTTCTGTGAGCAGGCATTTTCTATCATGGACGAGGAAATTTTTTTTTTTCCCCATTCAGAGAGTATATAATTTTTTCCCCTGAGATACAATTCATTTAGGAAATAAATAAATTAGAATAAGGCTTATTTGTAAGGCATATAGCTCATCTTAATAATTTACTGTTTTCATACTGAAAAAATGTAATTGAATGGACAGTTTGAGATTGATGGAAACAGCTTTATTATTACTTATTTAATTGCCGCTGTACCAGTGCCCTGGGAGAAAATGCTGTCAATTGATGGACCAAGACTAAATATACTTTCTCATTTTATCAGTCATTGTCCTTATATTTCCTTTACAACATGCTGTCCAATACTTTGTAGACATGGTTACTTTGCAAACACCCAAACTGCATTTTTTAGTTAACTGTTTGCTATTATTCATATGAGAAGACTCTATAAAATAATGTTTGCATGGGATTACATAAAATGGTAACCAATTCTGTAAGATGGAGAAACATATATTTAAATATGTATCAGTACATACTCAAAATCTTTTTGAAGGCTTTTTAGTGCTTGTCAAGTTTTATTCTGTGTCTTTTCAGGAGTGTGTGTGTGTGTGTTCTTTATCTCTTACTGGTAATGACCAATTAGAAGATTGCTGTAAAGTTTCATTTTAGACAGAAACACAAGGGAAATGAACCCAAAAACCTTCTTCACCCAGGAGTCCCTCTCGATAAGCAGTTTTATAAGATATGTTTAACAAATAATGATTCGAATTAGAATTGGGGTTTATCTCTAATTTATTTTCCTTTGAAGAGCATATTGGTAAATCAATGTATATGGATTTAAATCAACAGAAATGCCAAATGAGTCATTTAGTATTTTCTCTAGTTCCATAATGAAATACATGTCCCACAGGAATTTACAATTTATTTGACAGAATTTAAAAAAAAAAAAAAAAAAAGATAATTCCCCCTATAATTAAAACCAAGCATTTTCCGGATTGATTCCATCTGCTTTTTCAGCAGCACACAAGTGCCTCCTGTCCAAAGGGAAAACATAGTCATGCCCTACCAAATGCTCCCATGGCAGTGGAGTTTAGTTTTGAGGAAAACAGCTAGAAGCAATAAATACAAAAAGGAAAGAGTGTGCCTTTGGCTGTGGCCCTTTTTTTTCAGTGCACTACAGTCCTTTCTTTTGAGTAGGCTGGAAATGGGGTTTGTTTCCTCATGAGATAAGCTATGTTAATTTATAGATGAATAATAACACCATCCTAGAACACTGCTTGTAAAGACCATTATCTGAGTTTAAGAACTGTGAGTGCAAACATACATGTACATCCACACAGATACTCATGTTTATAAATAAAACAAAAAAAAAAAGTAAAATATATCGCAAAAAATTGAGCTGAAACAAAGTGTTAGGCCCTTTATTAAGTGATTATTGAGGTTTTATGAAGTAATGGCTTTAGACAGTAAAGCATCCCTAGTGACCTCTACAACATACTATTCTGCTATTAGTAGTTAATAACTTTAATTGACTTTAAATACTTAGCGAAAAACGTTTTGGCTAAAATGCCTATTATTTTTTTCTTATGTTATTGCAACACTTAAGGTAATACTGGTATATGTTAGAAAACAGTAAATTGCCACTGAGTCTCTGTTGATATGGCTGCTGTGACATTTGGGAAACTGTGGGCTCCTGTCTTGCTTGGTGCTGCCGGGGAGGTTCATGCTCTCTGCCATGTGGCAGAGAAAGCCACCATTCATTCTTTCTGGGCTGAAGGTTTTTTTCCCCCTTTTCCACCACCTCAAAGGCCTCCAGTCCAAATACATATTCATGTCTTGGACCCATCTCTGAAATTTTATTTCCCTTTTGAACTTGTCTTTTACCATTTATTAGTGAAGAGCCATGTGAAGGCACTTAACTTGTGCTTGACAATCAGGGAAAATTAAAATTAGCAACAGAAAGGTAAAGAAACTAATTTGTATTAGGCATTATGAATGTTTAATCCCAAATTTACTATTCCTGTAGTTAACCCTGTTGACATTAGCAGCTCATACTGTATCAACAATGTACAGGAATGAGAATTTTGGGCTTGAGGAATTAGTGAGAATGAAAACTCAGTGTCATGTAAAGAGAATAAAGATTACTTGTAATATGGCTTAAGAATTTTGTCCCTATAAACTTCTAAAACATTTTATAATTAGTAAAATATTAATCCACTGAATAAAAACCAACTTTGCACAGAGGCAGCATTGTGCTATTTAACTTTACTTTCTATTGTGAAGGCTCTCTCCATGAAAATTATTTTTAAGCATTTTGGAATTATTATTCTCAAAGAATTTTCATTGAAAGCATCACCAAAACCTACTAATTGTTCAGCTAATGAAAATATTTTGGAACAAAAGCAAGACAATCTCCATTTTGAGATATGTTTGTTATCATCCATGTGGTCACCAAAAACATCTCCCATCTCACACAACTTGGAACACTGAATGTCTCGTAAAAACAAAAAGGAATCTATTGTGGTTATCTCTAGTTCTTTGGACTCTGTTTAAATGTCTGCAGTTCATTTATACTGAAGGGAAGTAAAATTAATCCATGTCTGGAGTCATGCATAAAACTTCTTTTATGAACCTCTTAGTTTTGACTAAGGACAGTGCAAGTATTTGTTTATAGGTTACTTTTATTTTACATCTCCCAAATCTGGGAATTTTCCCAGCATGTGGTTTTAGGGAATTGAGAACTTACTTTGGATACACATGCTTTTGGCTTAGTCTTTTGACACAATGCTATTTTGGCTTTAATTGCTACAAATGTGATAATGTGAGCAGAGATTCCAGGTCGTGATCCCTTTTCATATAAGTGCCAGTGTTAGTAAAAACAAAATTTACTTTTGAAGAAGGAGTGGACAAAGAATTTTCAGGTGAAATTGTAATTTAAATTGGTAACCAACCCACTGTTTCCTTACAATGAAATTTCTGTGCTCGATTTTTTCCTACATGAAAGGGCTGTAAGGAATCAGTTTTGTTTTGTTATTGCAAGAAAAAAAGCCAATGACTTAAAAATATTAGGAGGGTCTCTTTTTTTTTTTTTAAATTTTAATACATCATTTTTTCTGTGATTCTAGAGCTTTGTTCTTTTTGCAGCATATACCCTTGTGTAATGTATTGCCTTATTGTCTCAAAGTAATTTACTTACAGTTGGCTGAGGTCTAAAAATAATCATCTGCTCGTGTTTCTATTCCCTAAGCTTAGCTATTAACTTGCACAATATAAGTCTGTCAAATACAAGAATGATTGATCTAAGTAAGCTAAAGAAAAAGATGTTCAAATGCTCCCTGTTAACATGTAAATTACATTAACATAATCTTGAATTAATCATATACACTAGTCTGTAAAGTGCCTGCCTTTAATATAATGGGGAAAAGCTACAGAGGTATTTTAGCTATGATTGTGCTGCATATTGACGAGTGTGTGCAAAATACAGTTGCCTTCTGATAGATGATTCATCCAGCTCCTAATTACTATTTGAAGGTTAAGAGGAAACCTCCCGGGGCCCCTGTAGCATGCCACGCTGTTGAGCCTGCAGAAACATCAGCTTCTAAGCTGGTGTCCTTGGGAAGTATCCAAGCTCCTAAGCCAAAACATCATCTCAAGTGACAATTCAACCCCAGGTCAGAGCACAGCACCAGCAATCAGCAGCTCTGCTGCTCTACTCACCCCTTAATTTCTATGGGAATGAGGACCAAATGCACTGCACCACAAAATAACATTTTGGGATGCAAGAGAAGGCACGCTTCATGTGTAGTGCAAATGCTGGCAGTGCTGTAATTCATAAAAGCTCTATTTCGTTAAAGCTTTTGCCTTCAGAATACCATGTGGTACTAATCTGTTTTATTAGTTTGTCATCTGTACTGAAATAAAAGATACAAAAAGACCACCTCCAAAAATGTCAGCTTTTAGCTTATAAGACTTTGCATGTTATTGGGAGTTTTGTTGTGAACAGGCATTACATTCTGCCAGAACTTGTCGTTGTTTATGTCTAGCTGTACTTTCAGGCAGACAAATAAGAAACAGCTGAACCATAAGTGTGCTCAACACAAATTAATTATTGCGTAAAATAAACACTCTTGTTGGCTTGTGTATCACTACAGGGGGTTATAACATCAATGATGTCATATTTTACTGGACCAGAGGAAATGATTCAGTTCGAGGTTTGGACACACTCCAGCTGGCACAATACACAGTAGAAGACCACTTTACCTCCGTGTCTGAAGCTGTATATGAGACAGGTAAAAACACCCTTATAACACTTCCTGGGTACAGTTTGTAATATCACTTTGGAAACAGAGCAGCATTAAGGAACAGAGCACACTGCTTTCTGTTAGGATGACAGTTTTCATATTCTAATCACATTCTCAATTTGAAGTCATACTTTTCCAGATGTTACAAGCAGAGATCCAGCTAATGTAAAGACTGAGAGTTTCTGAGCATTTTCTTGGAGGCTACACATTATATAAAGAACTATAAACAAGTGGTCTACTACTTCTTCCATGTAATATCAGGGAGAACTCGTGTGAAAGAAGAGGAGTCTGTAAATTGAACATCTAAATTAGAGACAGACCAGGGACCCTGGGATATACAGATCAGAACAGCCATTCCAGGCAAGTCAAAAGTCTCTTCATCTGTGGAAGTTCCAAGAATATGCTGGGTGCTTTAAAAACTGCAGGAAGTTGAATTTCATGTCTACTGCTTTTAGGAGTTGCTCTTTATCTGTGACAGCCTCTGCCCAGCCTGGTGGCAGCAGAGTGCAGATTGCTCAACCTGACGTTCCTCTGCCCAGGGAAGGGCATTTCCACAGAACTGCTCCTCTGCCCATCTTAGGAAACTGCTAGAAAGTTTCCTCTAACTGCAGGACTTAAGTTCAGGAAAAAGTGTGTTCCTGTTTATTTTCCAGAGATTTTGAAAGGGCTTTTGTAGAGTTGAAGACCAGCTAAACCTGCTTTATGCTCTTTGAGTTACTCTTAGGTCCTTCATTGTGGCTCTTCACTGTGTGCTTGGTTTCTCTACTGCTCAAGTCAGCACACAAACCAAAAGGGTGATCTTTAGATCAAGACACACACATCCTTCAAAACTGCAGTTTCACCAGAGGATATGTTACTAATTCCAAGTCACAGAAATATAGTTTCTCTATTCTGTTATTGGATATTTCTGCTTTAATAACACAACATGAAGAAACTTGTGATCTAAATTCAGGCTAAAAATCAAAGTTCTCTAAGTGGATAGAAAAGTAGAAATGAAATACCTACTAGCAGACTCTAGGATCACAGATTTTCTTGATACTTACATAAGTGACATCTGCCTGCCTTCCTTCTCCTTACAGCTTGTGGGGAAAGCAGCATCAGGTTCAGCCAAAGAAGAATAATCCTTACTGCTGTTCTGCCCAGAAGGGTATTAGAACCTGTTCACCATACAGGAAAATGGAAGAGAAAACCTCCTTAATTCCAACCACCTTCTATCACAGAATCAGGACTCTAAAAAAAAAAAATTTTTTTTGTTTGATTTGGGTTTTTTTTTGGTTGGTTGTTTTTTTGTTTTCGTTTGTTGTTGGGTTTTTTTAATTGAATAGATTATGGACAGTTTCCAATTAGAGTTGACCAGGCATGATCAGACAAACTGTACTCTTTTTCCAGTAAATGATGCTGGCTTTCTCTCTTTCTGTTGGCAGGAATAATATGTATTAAGTCAAAAGCCACTTGTTGTTTTAATTATACATTTTAACACATGCAATTAATTTTGATTTAAATTTCTCACACCTCCTTGTTTCAGTTCTCCTGTTCAAGAAAGCTATGCTATCAAGTGCTAAGTACTGCATACTGCATAAAATTAAATCTCCTAATCCTCTTAATTTTCTATTGAGTCATTCTGAATTAGGTGCTGTTTTCTACAGATTTTTTTGGAAAGCACTGCCTACTGTAGCCCATATTAAAAGAAAAAAGTAACCAAATTATGGAACTATGTAATCAATTTTGAAATGAAAAATGATGCATTGCATTTTCTTAATGTCATTAATAGATGAGAGTATTTTATAAATAACAATTACTTTATAAATAATGGTTATTTATAACTGCTACAATGCAAAAGGCTTAAGCTAGTTATGAGAGGATAGCTGTGTGTAGCATTTCCTAACACAGCAAAAAAAGCAATCAGGATTTGATACTCTGTGAACTTGAACAGACAGTACAGCTGCTGTGCAAGTGAAATATTGTAGAACAGTGCAAAGCCCAAGTTCACACACAGCCACTGACAGAGCCAAATTTAAAATGCAGTCAGCAAAATTCCTGCATAAGTAACTTCAGTAAATTTAAGGAAAGGACACTGTGAATTAATCTTGTTTGCAGAACAGCATGTATCACATAATAGTAGTCACATTGTTGTAATGAAATAATAGTAAGTCACTTTAAATAATATTAGCTAGATTGCTGGCTAGGGTTTGGTGTTTATTTTGGTTTGGTACAGAACAATTTCCTTTTGGACATGGGTAAATTAATTGTTAGAAACACTTTCTACATATCTAACTATAGTCCTCATTCTGCATACACTGATACAGTTTTGGACCATGTGTCTTCATCAGTGGGAGCTGGGTTTTTATTTTAGGTGTCCAGCCAACACCACCTGCATTCTCAGAGTAATAAATACTGGTATAAAAAGCTTGCTTTTCTTACTGGAAAAACATAAAAGCAATGAAGGACTCTAACAGCCTAGCTTTTTTTAGGTAAACAATCATAGAAATAAGGGTGGAATACCCTTTAAGAATTCATTGAATCTATTCTCACTTTTCAAGGCAAGGTCATCTGTATCTACAGCCTACTTCCTGACAGATGTTTCTAGGAGTAAGTCAGACAAACCTCCAAAGTGTCTGCTTCACAGCCTCCTGAGATGATCTTTTTTTTTTTCTGGTGTTTATTACATGCATATTTTCCTCATGTCTAATCTTGATCTCCCTTGCTGCATTTCAAACCCATTATGTGGATATTGAAGACAAATGTCTTGCTATTTTTCAGCAGCACCTTCACTGTTGCAACACAGATACATATTTTTTCAGACCAACAACTCTCCTCCTTTTTAATTTATATAACCAATTTTCTAGATATACTCTTTTTACTATTGTTCTCCCATCAAATTTCTCATATCTTTGCTGATATGCAGCACCCAAAACTGGGTATCCTGTTCCCATCAGATGGATGGAAGGGTTTACTTAATGTGTTCCATGAACTCTGTTCCTCTTTATCCATTCTAGGTTGGTATTTATTTTTCTTGCAAAAAGTTATCATGTATTTTTGACCTTGTGATTCCTTCTACTTCTCTGTCTTCCTTATTGCCCCGTGACCACATATTCCCTGAGCTCTGGGAGCAAGTAACGCCCATCTGAATGCAGGACTTTGTACTTGATTTTGTTGAATTGCATCTTTTTTACTTGGGTTTTGATAGTTCAGCTGTTTTTGAGCTGTAATCCTGTTCTCCAATGTGTTAACACAACATTCCACTCTTAACAGACACTTGGTATGGCGCCCTGTTTGTACTGAGCAGTTCTGGGCACAGGACAGACCCCATGTGTTCCCACCTGATAAATGCTTCTATTTTCACAGCAAGTGAAAGCTAATTAATCTCAATTACCATTTTTAGTTGGAGAAAGAATCAAAAATATAATTTAAAATTTCGGGCTAATTGGCTGTTGATAGCTTTTTTCCAGCATCTTTCCTTCAGTCTTACTCTGACTACTGCAACCCTCCCTCTAATTCCTCAGCAGCAGCAGGAATGAAGAGGCTCAGCTCGCTCAGGGCTGGTCTAAAGCTAAGTCTTCAGCCCGGAAGGCAGAGAGAGACATGGCAGGCAGTCAGGGCTCTCATTGCACTTCCCCACTTCAAAAACGTTAAGTCCACAAATTGGCATATTCAAAAGGTATTATTTTGGCAGAACAGTGAGAAAGAAGAGACAGAAGCATAAAGTAAGCCTCCTCTTGTTGCTGCACATAGAGAAGATATTTGCTCTATTAAAAAGGGAGCTGCAAAGGAAGCTGGCTGCTGTTCTTGTCTACAGTCACTGCCAGGGTTTTGATGTCTATCACAAATCCTGCTTTGGCCTTCTCAGGCTAGAAGCCCATCAGTTTGCATTTGGCTATGCAGTGCTGAAGCTCTGTGGTCCCCTGGCCACTACACATTTTCAGCTTCTCGGGGCGAGGGGGGGGGTGGTGTCACAACTAAGCCAGTAATGAGTTGTTCTCAGTCATCTGAAATCAAAAGGGATACAAACTATATATAGACTACAAAAGTTGTATGAGAGTGTATAAATATAACTGATTCTACACAGAGTGTACATTCATCAGTCACAGTTTCTTCCATTCTAAACAGTTACTACCTTGCTTAGCACTACAGGCCCATCTGCAATTTTCTATCATGAATTGTTTTTGAGATAATTCTGCAATGTGAAACAATTTAGAAAAAGAAATTTGGTGAATGCATTGAAAAAGTTGCAGTAACATAAAAACATATAGAAATGCAATGAATGTAATAGAAGGATATTAGGTGGCATTTGTTGTTAACTTCTGCAAAGTTCCTTATAGTATAGACATACATACAGGTGGACACTTGGAAAACTTCCTGTGGCCTAGTTTTTCTGGTTTTTTTACAGGTAAGATACCTGGGTAAATATATCTGCCAACAAACACTACCTGAAAGGGTTTGTTTCACTCTTAGGAAATTTGAATTTCAAACTTAGTTTTGTAAAGCATTTTCATGAACATGAAACACATGTTGAGAAGCCTGGCCTGAGCTTTCATTTCCTCTAGTTCACATCTGAAAAGCAAGTAAGAAAAGAGGTAGTTTGTAAGATCTAAATTACGAAGAACAAAAGACTGATTTTTTTCTGGAGGAGGGACAAAGGAGCTGTAATAGCATATTAACCTTATGTATTGACACCCTTAGCATCCTGCGCAGTCAGAGAATTGTATTTCAGTTGTACAAATTATTTGTTTTTTTAAAGATGGGGGCATAATAATTCCTTAATGCATATGTTTGTTGCAAGCAAGCAATACAAAAATTATATACTGAAAACTACACTTTTAGTGTATAGTTAAGGCAGTAAAATCTATTTAAAGCTTTCCTGTAGCGTGCCCTTAAAAGACGTAAGAAGAAAAGAAAATGATGCATTGGTAGAATTCTACTGATGTGCTTGTGCAAGATGTACATCACACATTTTAGAAGACACCCAAGGGGTTAGGATAAATAATTCATGATAGAGAAAAGTATGCTCTTTGTGCCTGACTGCACACCCTTGTGCAGGATACCAAAGTGCTTCTTACATAAAGAATGATGCAGAGCAGCCCTTACTGGAGTAGAGTTCAGCAAAAAGTCCACAGAAGTAGCTGTGGGGAAGATGCTCCTGTCCCATAACACTTAGAGTGGAAGTTAGGAATTGCTGACAGCATTTATAGAGGATCAGTCCTTCCTTCAGGTGTCTCTGTTGGGAAACCTGCTGGTAAGAGATGCTGCAGAAAAGAGCAGAGATGCAGCATTCTGCCATCAGCTGGGAACAGACACCAAAGAAAAATGGGATTATCAGAAAATGAATGACCTAGCATGATAAGGAAGCCTATTTAGGCTTATATATATTTTTCAAGCAGCGCAGCAATAGTCATTGCTGATAGAATCATCAGTGGAAATTCTATACAAAATGTTAGACAATCAGCACTGTATATTAGAATATAATTTTAAAAGACAAAAGCCAATCTTCAAAGGCAAATTATAAAACAGAATAAACTAGTTTCTATTGCCTTATAAAAATCTGCCTTAGACCTAGATCTAGACCTGCTCAGCTACTGAGAAACAGGCTATTCTGGTATAATTTTTATGATGCTGCAACAAAAGTGATCAGCTGGATCAAAGTGTACTTTTTTTGTCACCTTTTTTGTCCCCTGTCACCTTTTCCTACTTTTTAGGGTACTTAGCAGAAGAGAGTAGATTTGTTCTTAATCTACAAGCTAGGGCTTCTAGATGAAGCTAGAGTTTTTTACTTCTGCCCTCTACTAAATTCTGTAGAGCCCAAAAAACTTAGTTTAATCTTCTTTTGCTGTGGGGTGACCTAAGTAGAATACCCCGCCTTCTGGTGTGTTTAGCATATGTATATTAAAGTCATTTAAGTTCAGAGTCATCTGAGAAAGTGTTAAACACAGTAATTCAACACTTTGGTAAGTGCTAATGCTATGCCTTTGCTGCAGTTAGCTATCTGCTTAGGGATTAATTCCGTCACATTATCACATCTAAATCAGAGCAGTCTCACGCTGATGTGACACTCATAATGGGTGAGAAACTTGAATGAACAAAACTTCTTGTTATTGCAAGTATTTTATTGTCAATAAGACTCAAGCAAGGGGCAAACTTGCAGTTTTGAGGAGTTAATTTGAACTGTACTCTTGAGTTAACTCTAGTAAAGCCAGGACTAGGATTATATAAACCTGTTTCAATTTTGATTTGGCTGATGGCACCATAGTCTCAGATGTGCAAGTCAAAGGCAATGAGATACAGCATTACTCTCTCATATGCAGCTCACAGAACTGGAGTAGCAAATCTGTTCTTTTTATAGATGATAACTTCTGGTACATGTATGGTGTAGATGAAAAAAGGACTGTAATATTTCCCTATCTTCCTTTTATCCCATTGCTCATTTCTTTAGCACGATAAGTATGCACTGAATACTTTTTCTCAGCTACTGCTTTCTTCAGTTTATTACAGGAGGAGCTCTGATGAATTCTATATATAGGTTGCTTCAAAATTTCCAGTATAAAAGCTCTTTTGAACTCTTTAGAGAAATGCTGACACTATTATTATCATGTCCATGATGTATCTTTGGATTCTGGCAAGCAGAAAGCCTTAAGGTTAGAATGCCTCTTCTTTGTTCCCCGAAAAAACACTCAGCTATAAGCTGTTACATCTGTATTCCTCTTTGTTCACATTACTTCAGAAATTTTTGGCATCAGGAGGAAAAATAACATTGTAATATCCAAAAGGATTGTCTACACTTGGAAATTGCAGCAAAGCGGCCAACTGTGACTTTCAGATTTGGTATTTTGAACTAACTTCCCATGTACACACTTGTTTTTTAACAGTTGTAGGGCACTAACAAGGAGAGGGTATTGTTGTATGATTACGTTGGCTGTTTCAGAGTTTTCCTTCTTACAGACAAGTTCTTCTAAGGCTGAACCACAGGAACTCCCATGTGCCTGTGATACTCTTCAGGAAGTACTGTCCGGTCTCTTCACTCCCCTTTGCTGAGCATGTGGCAACACATCCTTCTCTATGACCAGTACAGAAGCACAGGACTTTTGTGGAGTATCCAGTTCTCTTTCCCTAAATATGCTTCATGCTATATATAGTCTTTTGTTGTACAGACTCAGTGTTTTTCCATAGCACTAGTGCTCGATTTAGTGCAGACAGAAGCAGTAATGTTGCACAGTCAACTGTAAGTCTTTCACTTCCTAACTTTTGAGTGCTTTACTTTGGTCTGCTTACACTTAAAATCAGTTTTGGTGAGCAAAATGGTATTTATTGAAACAACTGCAGTGGTAAAAATCACAGTCTTGATAGAGGTACACTGGTTAATGTTTCCTGTTTCCCATAAAAATGATAATAATGGTATAAAACACCTTTGTATTTCCTGCCTCATGGAGATTAGGTCTAATGTTCATCTTTGTATCCTTTCCTCTATCAGTCAGACACTTGAGGATCTTAGTATACTGAACTTAGCAAAAAGAACCCTAAATACAGTGTTTTTATACCTTTGGAAGGAGAAAGAACTGACTACCAGAAGACTCTTTAGTTCACTAGTGAAAAGGCAGTCAGTGTGGCAGAAAACTGAAATTAGATTAATATTAGAAATCAGGCACTCATTTTTAACAGAATTATTTGCTGAGAGAAATGGTGGGTATGGTGTGTCTAGATATCCTTAAACTAAGTCTACATGTCTGTGTGAAAGGTGAGCTCTATTGTAACCAAAATGACTGAGTTCAAAGCAGGGTATAATTGGGGAAATTTAATGGCTTTTTATTAGGGTCAGACTACATAATCTAGCAGTTCTTTCTAGTTTTAAGAATTCTGTGACCCCTTATTGTTCTCTTGATGCAATACATAGAATTCTTTCAAAACTGAAAATTTAACCATGCATTTTCTAGCCTGGGAGCAATAATACGTTCCTTGACATCCATTACTTGCACTTCAAGCTTTGACTGTCTCACAGCACACCTGAGGGATGCAAAAATAGCCTGTCTGTGCGTATATTGTTGTTGCTAAAGTGAATTCACTCTTCTGTACTTCTGTCCCGACTTGCAGCACACAACATTGGAAGCAAACATAGGTCCCTGAGAGTGTAATGTTTTGTATTAAAATAGCTGAAGCCAGAGCTATCTGACTACAGAGCATTACACTCTCACTGATATTCTGATGTTCTGCTGTTAAAATAATGTTGTAAAAATTTGGTAACGATTTTGAACTTGGAACTTCAGAATTAGAAGTCTTCGTGCTCTTTTAAATTAGTAAAAAGAAAGATTTTGCCTTCCTGAGATTCACTGAACTGGCAACAATTTCAGATCCTGAGCTTCAACATAGGCAAAATTTTGCTCGATTACTGAGCTGGATAAAAAATTTGGGCTTTTCCTATGAGTGTGCTGTCCTCTCATGAAGCCCAATTCTGTATTTGACTGTGTGATCCCAAAAGTTCATCTTCTGAAAATTACTCACATAGAAGCAAACCATTTTTTCCACAATAGTGACACTGCTCAGAGTAACACAAACACTGTCATGCACTAATTTAAAGAAAAAATAGGCAGTGAAGATATGAAGATACTGCTTGTTTTTAAGTGGAATATGAGGCAGGTAAGCAGTATCAGAGCAGATACCCTTAATCCAGATCTTGAACAATAGTAAGTGAACAGAAAAGCAAAATAGATGAGATATGTGAGATAGGTAAAGGTAAGAACGCATTCTAACTTTGTAAATTACAATTGTTACTATGCTACTTCATATCTTAGCTCATTTATTGTTATGAATAGCAACAGCTAAATACATATGTGACTTAAAATTTTCTTGTATTATATAATGAAACATGCCTTCCATGCATTGATGGTTTTATTTTTTCCTTCACTATTATTAATTTAATTTCCAGTTTAAGGGGCTTTTAATAAAACTCTGAACACGGTGACTGGGTGTTTCATGTTTTGAATGTTCAGTTTAGAGTCTTCATTTTGAATTTTTCAGCACTGTGTTTAATTTTTTTCTAGCTTGTTCGTTAAGCCTTTACTGCGCTGTAGTGCACCAAAATAATACAGGTTGTTATTTCAAAGAACTTTTTATAGATTACACCTTCAAAATATTTTCCTCTGCTTTTTCCACAGGACGTTACCCAAAACTAGTGTTTCACTTTGAACTCAAGAGAAACATCTTGTATTTCATATTAGAGACATATGTACCATCAATCCTACTGGTTGTACTCTCCTGGGTATCGTTTTGGATAAGCCAGTCATCAGTTCCAGCCAGAATTTGCATAGGTGAGAAGCCAACAAACCAAACCAAACCAAGAGTTGGATGATTAAGATGCTTTCTTTATTACACATACATGGCATCCATTTCCCAAAGCTGCAAACACTTCTGAGTTTTATGGAATTACTTTTTGGTTCGCCATACCCAGTATATGTGTGGATCCCCTTAAAGCCTTGCTATTCTTTAGCTAAGAAAAATGTCTTTGGGAGCTACAGGAGACTTAGAGCAGGGGAGGCTGTTCAAAGCAAAGGAAAAAAACTGTGTCATTTTGGAAATAATTTAAACATATTAAAACATATGGCATGCACAGACAGAATTGTGAGGCTTTTGTGAGGTCTAATGATACATACTAATTAACACATGAATAATAAGAGAATTATAAGAGATTAAATATAATTAATTTCAAATAAAGGATATTCTGAAAGGGAAAGAATGCAAATTAGTTTTGATCAGGCTGCAGGTGGGGTGGGAAAAACACTCCTACAGAATAGGGTAGAAAGATTTCACATCAAATCAGGCCATTGGGCAACTGCACTGAGCAAAATGATATCTGAATATTTTAAAGGGAGCTTTTGCATAGATTTGCAATAATAATATGTTAATCATAAATCTACATTCCATGACACCAAAATCTCTCTCATTTTAATTTCCAGTCTTCTCAGCTTTACTAACAGTTTTCATTAGTATTTTTAATCATTTAGCGTCAGAATTATAAGTTTATAAGTTCATTTGAAAGCCTTCTTTCTAAAACATGACCCATTAAATGCTGTGGCATATTCAGAGCTTCAGAGCCAGGAAAAACTCTCTTGTAGTAGGGCCCTTGCAGTGGAGGCCTTAATTTCTATGCCTGTTATTTCAGAACATATATTTTTGTGTTCCACAGGTGTTACCACAGTCCTTACAATGACAACACTGATGATGGGAGCCAGGACTTCACTCCCAAATGCTAATTGCTTTATTAAGGCAATTGATGTGTACCTCGGTATCTGCTTCAGCTTCATCTTTGGAGCATTGTTAGAGTATGCTGTGACTCATTTCTGCACTCTGCATCAACTCAGTTCAAAGGAACTTCCAATGGTATTTTAATTCTTTGGTTGTTGTTCTATAAACTAGAATTAAATTATACCTGCTAAAGAGAATTAATTCCCTTAGCACTAATAGTAAATGTATTTAAGGAAGTTTATTTTTTTAGAATTAGGACAGGAAAATAAAATAATCTTGAGAAAAAGAAAAGTATTGGTATACCTGGTTCTTATTTGGAAAAGATTAAGCAAACTGAAGCACCCTTCCATAATGATTCTCTCTTTAGGCCTGGACTTTATGGCCATTTATCAAACAACGTACTAGACATACCACAAAAAAAATCACAGACATTTGTTGTCTTCCAGGCAAAAGCATGTAGTTACTTACAGTTCAAAAATTAGACTGAGCTTGGTGACTTGACCTGATTGTGAAATGGAAAAAAAAAGAAAGGAGTTTATCACATTCCGCTTATGAAACCTTCCTGTGCATGGAGCATGAGTCAGGCTCCTAGCAGACAGCTTCACATCCTGGGTGTATCAGATCGCTATGGCCTTCTGCTCACACCTTCTCTTTCAACAGCTGCAGCTGAAGCTCAAATTGGGATTCACTTTCTCTTCTGCATCATTATTATAACAGCGGTTTTTGCTTCTCTAATGAGTTTCTCACAACTCTGAAATACTGTGAAATATACTTAAAATAGAAATGGATGAAATCAACATAGGCATTTTTGACTCTGGTGGTTGTCATCTTGCTGAAATAATCAGGACAGGTTCATGAGGTTTTGTCACATTTTCCATCTCCAGCATATAACACTGCTTTCATAAGCAATGAAAAAGAAATCACAAGGAAGCTGGAAGATGATTGTCTTGCAGCTTTTAATTATGGAACTGAATCTAATATGCATGAGAGAAAAGAAAATTTTAAGCAGCTTACGAAATTTCTGGATTAACAGAAAAAAATAAAATATGAAAAATGAGAATAACAGGGAAAAAAAGCAGAAAGATGTTTGGTTGAGAGCTGTAGGGATAAAGGGCCAGAAGAAGAAAGTCTGTCAACTGTTTAAGCCAAACTAGAACCAAGCATCACAAATGCCTAAGCAAAGCCTCTCAATGCTCAATGCCCTCAAGGAACAGGATACTGCATTGGAGGAGCTTCAAAAAAAAAATAAAGATCGGCCAATATGTGGAGTTTTTTATGTCTAGATAGTTCATCAATTAATATGTGATTTTGAGTGTTTGGATGAGAGATAAGTCCTATAAATATACAGGAATATGTTCAAAGCTGTCATTAGGTCTAGGTATGTGGAGGAACACTGCAAAATGGACACAAAGCTGAGCCATCCAGTGGGTTTCATGAGATAACATCTATCAGGGGATTGTCTGCAAATGGGCAAACACTCATTTTGAATGAAGATTTGAGTGGAAAGCCTGAAAGTAATTTTTCTTGGCAAGGTAACATCAGTGACAATTCCCTCAGAGCATATCCGTCTTGTGAAGTAAGTGGCTGTCTTTTTGCTCATAGAGCAGGGAAAAAAAGAGAAAGCTTATTGGAGGTTTGGGTAAGAAAGTAAGGTGTTTCAGTGCTTGGATGATTAGGCATCTTTGGATCTGTGAAGGGCACTTATGACTGCCCTTGCCTTCACCTGCCTGTGTCAGATTCGCTTTCATCTGGAGCACATACGAGTGCTTGCAAATGGTGTGGATATGGAAACTCAGAGACTTCAAAGATGCGCGTGGAAGTGGAGGTACAGTCCTAAAATGAGGAAGGAAGGAAGACTTATGGTAAAGTTATGTGATGGACTTAATGACCAAAAGGAATAGTCTTTCACTTTAGAAGTGTTTCTTGCTTTCTGCTGTGCGTCAGAAGTGAACAAGCCATCCAAAATCACTTCTTGCCCACACAAAGGTAAAGATATAAGGGAAAGGGTGGTTCTTTGATCCTAGGTCATGACTCAGTAGAATAGGGAAAATGCCTGTCATGTCCTTTTCCTGCTGTGGCCAAGGACAAGCACTGCTTACTGAGCAGGGTATCATGAAGAGCACACCTGACTTGTATTTATCCTTGTAAAAAACATCACAAGGACAGAAGTACCAGCTAAAATTTCATGTCACTATCTAGGAGGTACTCAGCAATTTATGTGTGAGCATCGTCACTGTAAATGTGTTGTCCTCATTATCGTATTCTCTTGTGGGCACAGGTTAATTGGAAATCTCACTTCCCATTTTGTTATTCCTACATGTGAGCTGATAGAAAATTTGCACTCAGAATTATGTAAATAAATGCAGGAGGAGAAATGAAAATATCACCCTCTCTCTTGTATAGGAATTAGTTGTACTTGCTTGCTTTCCACTTTGCTCTTAAAAGCAGTTGGACACTGGCATATCAAATCCTTCAGAATCCCTTGGGATCTCCAATTTGGAATATAAACTGGTGAAAGAGCTCATCATATCCCCTCTCTTGCAGTATCTGACATCATGTGAGCCAGGACCCATAGAGACAACTTCAAAGCTAATGGCAAAAGCAGAGGAACCACCTGCTGCAAGGAAGGTCAGGCAGAATGTGCCATTCACATCAGCTACATAACAACAGGCTGCTTAAATGGAGAGTTTGCCTCTCCTGAGTTTCTTCTGCTTTGTACAAAGTTGTCACTTGTGCCCTCTTATAAAGAAGAGGATTCCTTCTTGAACTTCCTCCTAAATCTTTTAAGTTTTAGGAAGAATGGAGAACAGTTTGAAAACTGAAAATAAGGGCACAAGGGTGCTGTTCAGCCTACCTGGCATTTCTGTGCAGTCCTTATGAGCGCTGCATAAGGTCCAGGTGTGCAACACTCTAGGTTGAAACATTTTTAATCTTGAGCAGCTTTATTTTTCACTGGAAGTGATACTTTCTTCAATTCTGTTGGCTGTTGGATGTCAGCAAACACTTCAGTTAGTATGAACAGCAGCCACAGTAGCAGGTGTCATATACAGTGCTTTTCTGGTGGTGTATGGCACCTTTCCTGGATATTGCTGGCTTGGTGTATAAACAGAGCCTTTCTTAGTGCCAACTGCTATATCCTCATAGCTGGAATCCAGAAAAAAACCCAGGTATTTAAAATTAGAGCCACATTTGGACATTCACAACACCTTTTTTTTTTTTTTTTTTTTTTAAAGTATACTGTAAACCAGCCTAGTCTTTCATCATGCTCAGTTCTCCATAACAATTTGGAAAAGTCCCTCAATAGTCCCACTTTATAAGACTGCAGTTTTTAATAAATGAGCAGATTTTGTGGTTCTTTTCTGTTTTGCAAGAGCCCTGCCTTATTACACTGCAAATAGAATCCAGTACCTGTGCACTGCATGCAGAAGATTCTGCTTAAGTAATAACTGCCTCTTGGGGAGTAGAAAGGAATCAAGAACAGCCTAATAATGCATCAGTCTCCTGCGAGCTGCTCACATGCTGTTGTGTGAAAGGAATAATGGCACGTGTGCAATGTCCTGTTAATGCTCCGTAGTAAAACTAGTTCTGAACAAGCCGCCCCTACCTAGGAGAAGAATGGACTCTTACACTGAGCAATGCCCCAAATCCTGCCAGTTTTGAAATACAGATGTTGTTTTGCTTTTTTTTTTTTTTTTTGCCCTTTCTGAAAAATGAGAGCAGGGGAAAAAAGTCAGGACTCTTCTCTCTGGTTCCTTTATTTTATTAACTTTTGAAGTGCTGAGTGCATTCATTAGGCTGTTGCTCTGGTGCCTCGTTCCAAGTGCCAGGCTCTGCTGACAAAGGCTCCTCTGCCATCCCCAGCACTCCCTTCAGCTGCCTGAACTTTTTGAAGCAGAAGAGAGGTATTTATAGCAGAGTCAGGCCCCAAGTAAAACTCGAGGTTTGAGTTTTAGTACTACCTTGGGGATTGTTTAAGGTTCAGAGTGGAATTTTATGGATTGATCCTCTTAATGCTTTATAGACAAATTTTTATCCTGGCCTTTGGTTTCAGGTGCAGAAGGCTGGATGGAGGATGAGCAAGGTTTCATGGTCAGTGTATTTTTAGTATGACATGTTGAGCTGCGTTTATTTCTGACAAATAAAATATACCAGATTTTTTTTTTGAAAGTGAAAAGGAGTAATAATCCCTTTTATAGCTCCGTTTGTTCTGCTTCACTGATTTCCAGCAGTATGAGGACAGACTCCACTTTAATTTTCAAGGGTGTCACTAATTTTAGATGAAGAAAGACTCAAGGACTGTGCCTGCTACATGTACCCTGGGCAGAAGAGCAATTCTGCATTGGCATGGAGATCACTTATGTGGCTTAATGAGCTTGCTTTGACTTTAATAGCTTGGATGTTTCTAAATGAGCTTTTTGTCTGGCTGCACATAGGGCTGTACATTTTAACCTTTATGAAGTTTGTCCTTGTGGAATCTGTTTCTTCTCATGATCCAAATGGAGAAGAGCAAATTGGTCAGAGGAAAGAGATTCTGCATTCTACATTTCACAAATAATTTTTTTAGACATTTCTTGCTTTTTTACCACTCACTGATTCAGGAGACAATACAATTACCAGGAGAAAATTAAAATTACGTGTATGCCTACCTGAATTAAAATGACCCCTTCTCTGACTATACATAATAAGGTTTAGTTTACATGCAAAATTGGAGCCCATCTTTGTAGCTTGGATCTGCTGGTGTCTCTGCAGCATCCCATACCAAACTAAATACCCCTGGACTTTCAAGGAAGTTTTAGAGTTGAAGCTGCAGTTGGTGTCTAATCCCATGTCCTCTGAGTCAGTAACAGAAAACCCACTGACTTCAAAGGGTGAAGATTTCATACATGAACTTTATGGCTGTGAGCCATTTCTAATCAAAGAAACAAAACCCAGCAGAAGGCTTAAACAACATTCTCCTAGGGCCTGTCTTGATGCAGTGAAGCACATAAAAATATGTTTAACCCTAGCATAACTTTGAACTGAAAGCATGGGTTTCAGGACTTGAAAGAAAGTAACACTAACTATTTAGTATTAAATTAGCTGTGGGCCTTGTCCCTCTTTATTTTATTTCATTAAAAAAAAAAAAAAAAAGAACTTTTATCACAAAGCACTGGAATTGAGTAGCAAATTGGAATGAGCTGCCCAGGGAGGTGGTGGATTTTCTGTCCCTGGAGATATTTAAGAAGAGACTGGATTTGGCATTTAGTGCCATAGTCTAGTAACTGTGGTGGTAGTGGATTAAGGTTTAGACTTGATGATCTCAGAGGTCATTTCCAACCTATCTGATTCTGTGATTCTATGAAATTGCACAAAAGGAGAGTGTCTTTTATCCTTTTATTGCTTTTATCAAGCAATTTGGGGGCCAGCTAGCTTGACTAGCTAGTCTGGAAGCTCCCCCACCTTCTCCATCTCCAGGCTGGGGCTTTGCTTTACCCACTTCTAGGCACTAACTTTTGCCAGTATTTGGCCTGAGCAGAAGACAACTTACTGTTGTGCCTTTTGTGAGTTTGCTGCTGTCTTAAGTAAAGTTAGTGGCCCATATTTGAACAGATCCAATTTTTCTTACTGTATAATGTGGTTTAAGTCAGTGTTTTTCCCGCAAATGGAGGCTTTGAAAGCTGAAAGGAGCTGTCTGGTGCATGTAGGTGCTCGCCCTTGAAGTTAAGAAGTGAGAGAGAGGAGGAGTTGTAAGAAAAATCCCATTTGCTGCAGCTCTAAAGGAAATAGGTGATGAAACATGCACTTAAATACTTGCTGTTTGGTTTCCTTTCAGGATGATGATGAAGATGATGAAGAAGGCAAGAACAGAGCCTTGGCAGCAATCACTAACAATTGCAGTGCCCCTGACAATACGAATAAGATCAATTCAAACAAGAGCAACCAGAGCAGCACTGACAGGAAAAGCGAGAGAAGTAAACACAGTGTGTGTAGTTCACCAATGTCAGTAATGAAAAGACTTTTCTGTATCTTTGATTGCTTCCATGTTAAAAATCCTTACCACATAGACAACTATGCCAGATTTTCTTTCCCGCTATCATTCATCATAATTAATGTACTTTATTGGGTGTACTATTTGTATTTCTGAATATTCTACTGTGTAAAATTGGCTTAAAGTTTAGGAAGTGGATATGGGAGGATATTGCAAAGAATAGAGAAGCTGCATTTGGATAAAGGGATATGAAAGGACTTCTTTCATGTTATCTTTTTAAGGGCATCTACAAAATTTCTTGTTAACTCACTTTTCTGCTGTTAGATGTCTGTCATCCAAAACTGACTTTCCTATTAGCATGCATGTCCCATATTAAACTACTTATCAAAGACAAACAAGTCCTTTTTTAATATTTAATGGTCAAATTTGTAAAATAAGAGTTATATTATACATGTTTCTGAACTGCATTGAATAAAAATAGAACCAATGAACTTTTCCTGCTATGGTTTCCATATTTCATTCCTTGTAGTTTTGTCAATAATACATAAATTTTCCAGATTACATAAGAAAATTAGTAATTGCAGATCAAAGTGGTTTTGCTACACAGCATGAAACAGTTTTGAAAGCATGGGCTACCAACACAAACCAAACAATCTGTTCACCTTGGTAAGGTCACAAAGATGTATCGAGACTCTTCTACATCTTAAGACAGAACTCCCGTAGGCATCAATGGCTTTTCTGAGTAAGTGCAGGGCAGTCTACAAAAATGGACTGGGGCCAAAAGGTTTACATCCAGAGAGATGTATTTTCCTGAGTGAGAACATACTTAGGTGTTCACCAAGCCATAATGGGCTATGGCTCTTTATCCTGACATTTGTACTACGCTCAGTCACAACTGCTTGGGTAACTATTATGCAGAGGAACAAGTTGATATACTTAATTTTCAGCTTAACAAATTCCTCTTGACTCACTTGCCATTAAAAAATTTCACATAAAGGTGGAAAAGCTTCTTGAATAGTAAAGTAAACTCTGGATATGCAATAGCTCTTGATGAAATAGGAAAAGTTTTACACAGATGAAATTATGACCCACGTGAGGGGATAGTTAGACTTGATGAAAAACCCTAACAGTTTTATTTCATTTAAAAAAAGTTATTACAAAAGTTATTGGTATGGCAACCTGTTTCTTATACTGCAGTATGTAAGTTTAAAAGCACTTATTTTTATATCTTTCTCCTGACCATACTATATGTGTCAGTTGCATTTATATGCATAAACCTGTGTATGTGCTTTTATACTCTGTGTATCTTGGCATTTCTGATGATATGACAAACTGAACACGTAGAAATGCATCAGAAAGCTCCCCTAATATGGACAGTCTTTGATACACCTTTTCACCAGTGTGCTGCCTGTGAAGAACACCATTACATAAGAAGAGAGAAAGTGCAAAATACCAGTGCGGGTTGGATTTGCCTTTGCTCACATCTAAATCCATAAAAATGATTGCACACTGGCAGACAGTTATTAGGTCACTAAAATTCCCTCAGTGGTTTTATTTTCTGAATGGTTGACTACTGAAAATTTGTTTCTCTGCTGTTATGAGTAATGCCTATTGCAAGGCTTATGGAGGCAGTGCGACTTCAAGAATGGTCTAGTGGTTCTCGGCACCTTGTGGGTCTTCTGACTTTTGTATAAAAACAAATACATTCAAGAAATCAAATCACGACTGCCTGCGTTAATGAGCAGCCAAAAAAGCAATTTTTTTTTTTTTTAATTTAACATTCTGCTGTTACATATTTATCCTTAAACCCTTTATTCAGGAACAGATTGTATGACATTTTTTCTTGGAAATGAGGTGTGAAACTGGATCCTCAGATCTATTTCCAGGTTTTACTCCCATAAAATTCACAGCAGGCAAATGGTAAAGCTCTGTATTTAGTTTCTTAAATTTGAAGTTTGCATTATTTCTGAGTTTTTTCACATAGTTACACACATCTTGCAAGTTACCTGTTGTGTTAACACTAAATTTGAGATTTACATTTACAACAAGAATAAAGTAAGCATTTAGAGTTTTGTAGCTTCCAATTAATTTGGAGATAATTCACCTTATATATTATTTTAGAAAGCTGTTGAAGCTCTGGGCAGCTTTATTTACAGTGCATTAACTGATAACAGGGTCTATTTTCCCACCAATATGCTAATTGTAAGCAGAGTTAGATGCTGAAGTCCCCCATGTTTTCATGAAAGAATAGACTGCACAGCCAGATTTTTTATTACTCTGCTTTGCATAATTCTGCATTAATTATTAATTTCAAAAATAAAACTTGGTTTGACATGAATTTGTTGTAAAAGGTGTTCCCAACAGATTTTCAATGTAGTATATGAAGAATGAAGAATAACATTTAAATTATCCTGTTAAGCATAGCTTTTGTCCCTAGAAATGAACAAATTCCTTGGAATTAGCTGGAAAGGTTCCTCTAAGTGGCATTCATGAACAATGCACTGAAGGCTGCAACTCAGAGGTAAATTAAAGAAGTCTCCTTCGGTGCTAAGAGCCAGGGCCAAAGCTGAGGCTGAGGCAATGAAGATAGCTTTGGCTTCATACCTGATGAAAAGGGGAAAGACTTTGAACTTTCTGCAACCATTTTTTGTTTGATAGTAGTGTTTTCTACTTTGATTTTAATGTTTTCTAATCAGAGACCTCAGACTCATAATTCAGAAATGTCCTCTCAGTTTTTGAGATCAGTTGAGGCAGATGTACAACGAATGAGGGACCTGAGGCAGGAGAATGGCATTAGCAACAGGAACTGATGATGCATCTTCATGTAGTTTACTTTGCTGTTAGCAGGAGGTGCCCTGCTTTCGACAGATCTGAAGGCAGCATCCAGCCCAAGGAATACATTTCCTTCTTCTGTGGAATGCCTGCAAGCCTGGTCTTTTTTTGATTCAACAACCATCTCACAGGTGTTTAAGCATTGTGCAGACAAGAAACACATCTCTGACCTTAATAAGTTATTTGATAATATTTTCTTTCTTAATGGAAAATTGTTATTAAAATAAAACCTTATGCTGAGATATTAATCAAATATAACGTTAATTTTTTTGAGATTTTAGCCATATGAAGGTATTAATCCTTGCTACATTTCCACTTCAGCAATTCTCTGATGTTTTGCTGATTCACTTATGTCATAGGTAAATATCTCATGCAAGCTACTTACTGTCACAATAGTTGGGATATTTTGAGAGTGTTTAAAATATTCCACCTAAATCAAGAGGGAAATGCTAAGGAAGATGATATTTTAGAACAGGCATTCATTAACCCTCTTATAAACTAAGAAGACATTTTAAATTACTATTAGATATTTTCCTTTAAAATGTAAAAAATATCCCATCTGAATACTTCAGTCAACACGTATGGCAAGCATAAGACAAGGGCATCCATCTGTTGATCTGAGTACTCATTTTCAGCACAGAGGCCTTATTTATAACAGTGCTGCAGTAACTTAAACAGCTCTCTTTCCTGCTTTGTCTCTTTGTTTTTTGTACTCATTATTTTAAGGGAACTGTTATGCCTTTTGGCATGGGAAAACATATTTAAAAAAAAAAAAAAAGATGCCCCACGTTGTCACCCTGCAATTCAAAATGAAATTACCAAAAAGATTAAGATTAAAGAAAACCTACATAACAGTAAAGCTGATGACAGAAGAACAGAAGAAGAAGCAGAAAGAGGTGAACCTTCAGCTTCCTGCTATCAGCTCTTGCCATTGCTGTGGTGCAGCAGAGTGCCTCGAACCCTCTACCAGTGCAACCTGAGGAGCTTCTGGGGAACTGGCACTGCTGGTACAATTCACTCCATGCAGCAGTAGATGGAGCTCATTAACTGCTCTTCATCGTTGAGTGAGCAAATGTAAATGGCAAATGCTAGTTAAGGAGGACTCTAGGGAAAAGCTATTACAAGCTGACATTTGTACTGTGGTAACTAGGTCATGTTTGTAGGGACGGATTCATTAAAATCAGGCAAAACAGCATTGTCAGGTGGACTACTTTTTACACTAAAGTTCAGGCTCCTCAGACCCTGACTGTTGTTTCCACCATTTTAGCCACTGAAATCATTAACATATTCTGCCAGTTTATGAAGTAACTTCATTACTACAATACCGTGTGTTTTAAGCATAAATTTTCTATCCTGTGTCAAGGTTTTCTCCTGCAGATCATAATGTTTCACATAAAAGTATTACATTAGTATTTCGAGGCAGGCAGAATAGTGGCTGTACCAACAGTTTTCCTAAAAATCTTTATGAATCCTAAATAAATGTTCCTAGCTAATTCACTGGCACACTGCTAACAGTTGTCACAAGGATTAAATTAATTTTAAAAGTCAGTTTAAATCTTTTGGAAAAGTTCCCCTTGAAAGAGAGTTTGTTGAAATGGTGAGAAACTGAGCTGTGAGAGTCTTCTGGGCTGATTACTGCAAGAACAAACTATCTCAGCTGGAGAGTTGAAAACTGGAGTGGATTCTGCTCACTGCAGAGAAGTGGGTGCTTGACAGTGCTTAAGCAGATAAGCCCAACACAGTTTTGAACTCTGTAATGGATTTGCCATCACTCATAATACAACTTTATAATTTAAACCAGGGGTCCATTTTAATACTATTGCCAAGTTCAGCTTTTCATCACTTTCCATCTGGAGACATCTTTCTTACCCATCCCATCTGACTGTCAAACTTTCCATCCTCTTTCTGAGAAGGATAAGGGGGCATTTGGGGGCATTTCAATCTCTTGATGTAAGTTTACTCATATAATTTGAGTTCTGGGTTTCTTTCCAAACTCGAATGGACCCTCTTTTCCTATTCCAGATCAAACACAGCCAAAACTTCAGAAGACAAAAATCTGGTAAGATTTTAACATCATCACATGTGCACACAAACCTTAACCCTGATTCATTTTGAAACTCTGCTCTGAATTTAAGTTTAATCAAGATTTAATCACTGGATAATTTGGATAGCACTGGATAATCTGTATTAACACAAAACCAACTGTACCACTGTTGTTTCACTTGTTATAGCAGGTAACTTTGGAACCTAGACAGTAAAAATATTTGGTGACAGGGTTATTTAGTTTCTCATAAAGGAGAAGAATTTAATCTTTCTGCTTTAAAGTCAGGTCAGGGATGCATCCAGAATAGCAGCTCTGGCTCTAGTTGTGGCTGGCCACTTTAGAAGAAGTGTACAAAATTAGAAAAAAATTAGCATGAGGGTATAAAATGGAGTTCAAACCTGAATTACATATTGACATTCTCAACTTGTATGCCCTTGGTCCTCATACTGATGTTAATGATGTTTCTATAAACGACATCCGTTGTATCTCAGAAGCAGTAACAAACTCGAGAGATTTGCCATCTCAGGCAAAGCTTGCATTGCACACACTCATATATTCCTGGAAGATGCAGGAGAAGGGATTGT